TACTCACTTTGCTCGGAATATTCGAGTTGAAAAAATAAAGCTAGCTTAGTCTTGAAAGAAGAGACCTATATTTTCTATTTTTTATCAGTGACATTATTGATTTGTACTTCATAGAATTTAATCTTTGAAGAAGGTATAACCAGCCAGAACGGAATGATGTGTTGATGCATCATCTACACTTTCACCCCAGTAACTCATGCAGCCAACATGTGAATGTGAAAAATTTACAAGCACCTCTTCTCTCACTACTGAACTATGATATAGTGGACAAGCAAAATGTGCCAGTTGTGAAGCAGATCATACTAAATAAGAATGAACGAATGAATAGAATATCAAAAAGCTGAAGAGGGGAGGATATATGTAAATATGCATTTATATGCAAGCCAGGATGGAGCCGGAGAAGGTTATACTTGTACAGTAGTGGATTTGCACATGCATTCCGGGCACCTTGGTTGCCGATAGATGCTTCTGCCAAACCCTCTGGTCCGGACTCTTTGACCTTCCTCAATCATCTTTCTAACTCTATCTTCAAAAGTGTTCCAGCTTATGGTCTTATTCTCGGACAAGATTGCTGCTAACCTCTTTTTGTTTGGTCTTAAAGTAGGAGCATTGCCACCTCCGTAGTAAGTTCGAAATCCAGACACCAGAGATGATAGTTGGCTTCCAGAGTCGGTCATGGCAAAGACATCAGCACTTGCACAGGCAATAAAATCCAATGCTGCGAGCTATATACAAGAATTTTAGTCTAATGAATTGATAAAACATCAAAGAAACAAGCATCTTTCCCTTGTGATAGATAAATAAATAATAAAAGGATATAAAGCCACATTTAAACAAGTGCTTGGTTCCTAGATAGTATACAGTTGAGAATACTGCTCAATAAGCATCTAGAGCTGTAATCAACATGGTTTTTTTTTTAAGAAAAAAAACCCTGACAGTAGATAGTTGTCCCATACGAAGAAAATTGTTGGAATATATCATGATCCAATGATGAACACTATCAGAAGTGTAGCCTAAAGATTATATCATGATATCATCTTGATGCAACAGATGGAAATGTTGTCACAGGCATGGTCTTCAATGTTATTTACCTGAGAAGAGAAGTTTTGAAATGGTGCAAGTTCACTGGGAGTAAGAAGAGTTTCCTTTGTGACTAGGTTAGGATAGAGGTTGGTGAAAGTCCGCATCCTAGAATTACCACCATATATGTGAGATCCAGCCAAATAAATGTAAGTTCTATGTTTGAATCCAAGACTGGCTAGAACAAGTGCTGCTTCTTCTGGTGTCAAGGGACATCTACCCGACATTCTCAACTCTGTTGTAGAAATTGTTCTGCATATCAATTCGTAATTCTAAGAGTGATCAATATATACTTGCAAGTTACATCAGTTGATATAGTCTGAAAATTGGATAAATTATGACAAAAAAAAAAAATCCAGTAAAGTACTTTGACTTCTTCAAACGCTCAATCAGCAGAGGAAAATGGGTTTCTCTGTATGCTTGAAGCTCCTTCTTCTCAGTTTCTCCTCCTCCAAAGTCACAGAGGGAGTATGCAACCATATCCACTTCAAATCTCAAGTGTAAAGCAAGATACTTTGTAGGACCTCCAACAACTCCAACCTCTTTGGATGGCACATAGTCTATGAAGTTCCCGAGCAATTGTTTATCCAGCATACTTTTTACGGCATCGTATTTTCTTATCCTTTTGACCAATAAAGAACCAACTTGTTGGATTTTTTGTACAAACTTCAGAGCATGGAAGTTGCATTTACATCTTAATCTCTGCCATTGTGAAAAGTTATAGCAAATTATTAAAAGACATAGCAACATTTCAGACTCATCTTGAGCTTCAGAGGATATTCTAGTCACTCAGGAAGATGATATGGAATAAGCCTTCATATTTCATAAAATGTCGAAATTAATCTTCTTTGAAAATATTGAAGTTACTTCTTTTTCCTAAAAGCTTAAAAACTAACAACACAGGCATAAACAGTTTGGTGTTAATAAAGCGATGTTTTTCTTCCAATCATATAGCTCACTTGTGACAATGCAACTGATATAGAAAGTCATGGTTGATCTGAGTCTGCTTGAAGACAGGGAGACTAATCAACCAATCTGCCTATGTTCATTACAATAAATAGAAAATGAGACTCAACATCTTGACTGCTAATTTTAATTCATCTAAGCTGTTTTCTTTCACTCAGAGAACTAAATGTGAAAGTATATGTGAAAAATGTCTAGTCTCTCAAGAGAGTGAACAGAAACATCACAATTAATTTCTGAAAAAAAAAAAGTTACCATCTGTATAGACAGATTGGAAACATTATATGAAAAGTTCGATTGTGAAACCATGCTGAGTTCTAAAGCAATAATTTTTAACCTGAAGGTCGAAAGGTATGGGATCAAAGCCAAGCCGATTTCCAAAGCCAAGGAAGTGAACAACTCCATTCTGCAAAAGAAGAGGGAGAACGGTTCTAATGTAATCTGTGGGCTTCGCCTCTTTCGCAATATCTGCATCAGTAATCTGAAAAAATACTCTAAAGGAGTTACTAAGTTATTTTCAGAGGGAAAGTTGTTACGAGAAGTATTTGCATTTATAACATACCTGACTACCAATTGCCTCTAGATCTAAAGACTTTAAGTAAGAAGGGAGTTCCTTGACAATATGTACATCATCTTTCAGAGTATTCATGAAGTAATATTCTTGGTATATGTCACCAAACTGGCTGTGTTCTCATTAAACAAACAAAGTGTGAGACTCTGCCAGCCATTGGTTGCAGAAAATTTAAAAACTTGGATGGCAGCCACCAATTCCAAATGCTCGCATATTTGAAATAAACTCAATAAAAACGATTTGGTATTTGAAATGTTTAATTTTCAAGAGTTTGATGCGATTGAAATGTCAAATAGTTGAATAATCATATATTTCATATACATTTATCAAACTATAATAAAGAAAACTTGCTCAACTAGCAATTCATAGAACTATTTAAATGATATCGAAGTTTCCATTTAAAAATCACTCTTACATGGCTACATCAGCTGAAATTGTTGTGACAGAATTAAACTTGTAGAACGAAATTAATGGAATGGTACGGGTTCAGAAAGATCTCAGACCTTGGATCATTCCATACATTGCTGTAGAGAAATCTTGGAATAACCAGAGTTGCATTAAGAAGAGATGCAAGTGCAACAGCATTGCAGATCTGCAAGAGTCATAAGCAGTCGTGAAAACTAAGATAAGTAGAGAAGTCAAAAGACATTACAATTGCAAAGATGACTGAAACATGATTTGTTCGAGAAAACCTAGCCAAATATGATTTTATTTTATTTTTTTTGGATGAAAAAACACAACTTTCATTGAGAACTGAACAAATGATTGTAGTAGCACTTAAATACGAACTAAAAAAAATAATAATAATTGCAGTAGTACTTGAACTGTAGTTCAGAATATTGCAAGTAAACTTTACGATCTCCAAGATGGGAAAATGTATTTTCTCTGGACATAGCCAATATGGTGAGCAGTAAAGTTATCTGAACTGCATATTTCTTTGGTATTCCTTTCTATTGTCTATTTTTCCTCAGATAACGTGTAAAATAATGTTCTCCCAGCTACTGTCATCTTCTCATTAGGAGTTCCGGAAGCAAAAAATGTTTAGTGTAAATTCAGTCAGATTGACCATGTCTGAACTTACCAATTTCATCATCAATAAGTGTTTGAGAGTGCTAGAATGCAGGCACAACAGAGAATTCTCTAAGAATTTGACAAGGAAATAATGACATAGAAGATACCAACACTTACAGCTACTCGTTGTTGATTAAGACCACCATTTGCGCTAATTATTACATATCCATTAGTCTTATCAGGCTTCTCTGTTCCAAAATTACAAATATGAGTATCAGTCACACGATAAAGTTCACAAGGCAGAGCAAATAGTTATCTTAGGATACTCATTGTGTCTGGAGCAGCCATTAGCAACTATCCGAGCAAAAATTAAAAGGGTTTTCATGAACGTCAAACAGTTTAAGGTCTGATCGGGCACCTAAATCTTTTCCAATGTTTCCATCTGCACAGGGTACCCATGCAGAGGCCTGAAGATACGGTTCCTTCCACAGGCTTGATTTCTCTGGCTTAAACTCAATCTGAAACCGGAATAGTCTCATATTTAATGTGTCCATCAGAAAAGGACAGGTAAAGCTGATTCGAACATTTAGAGTGTGTAAAGGTTCATGTAACAAACCTCAGCAAGAGAACTAGAAGCCAAATGCACGAGGCGGTCATACATCTGAATTGGTGATTTTTCTTTGTGAATATGGGCATCGTTATCATCCTTGAGTCAACAAAAATGCAAATACCATCACTTGAGATGAAAATGGTTGGAGTCCATTATGGGTAAATAATATTTGACCATCAATGTTAGAACATTGTAATAAGAAAACCATGGCTTCAGAGTCTAGACCTTGGGACGGACGCAGATTTTTAAAAAAAATATCAACTAGAAAATATCTATCCATATTATTTGGGCATTATATGAAGTCAGGACTGATAGATCTTATCAAGAATTTTTATTACAATCAACGAGAGAGAGTTTGAAGGACCCAAGCATACAAAGGATATCAACCAATGTCATTCCTAAGAAGCTACTACCAACCCATTAAACTTCCAAATGCTAATTAAATCTAGAATGATTCCTCAATTGTATTATGACTACTTCATGCAGAGAACACAGAACAAAACTACGACAAAATTAAGCAAAACTTTACCTTGGCACCACTTAATTTTCTGGAAAATTGGCTGTTCCGGCGAATAATCAAATTGACTATGGATAATGTTAAAGAATCAACCAAGAAAACAAAGCCAATCACTCCGATCATAAACAAAATTGACCTCACATGCTTTTGAAGCCAAAAATGCCTTTTGCCCCCATAGGATCCCTTAGAAGCACTAATTTTGGAAAAATCATGTTTCGATCTGTGAATTGATCCAGGTTTCGAACTCGAGTTTATATCTTCTCCTGAAAGTCTCCTGCCAATAGAAGGATTATTCCCACACAAAGATTCTGAACATCTAATCTGATAACCTTTCATTCCTAATGACATTCCCTCACTTTGAGACTCAGGGCGCAGACTTCTCGAAGCCCCTTGCTTCCCCATTATTATCTCTCAAAAGGCTTCAAACATCTATCCAACTTTGATCTTTTAAGGAACCAAATAACAGAAAAACATGTAACCAGAAACTATGAAAGCCTGCATTCACATTTTCCTTTTCCCTACAGACTCTCTGTACCTGTCTTTCTCAGAAAACAACCCACCAACTCAAAAACGCAAGTGATCTAACAAAAATTTAAGTTTGGTAACAAAAATACGGGTTAAACAAAGAAGATATGCATACACGTAGGAAATGGAAGAGAAATAAAGCTGCAAAGGCCAGTGAAAATAGATGAGTGCAATAAAAGCAAAAATTGAAGACCAAATAACACTTTTCAGACTAACCTTGAACAACAAGAAACACTTGCAAACAACTACTGGCTACCAAACGGGGCAAAACGTCGACTTCAGAGCTACTCTCTTTCTGGGTTGCCAAGTTATTAAATAATAGCGCCTGAAATGAAATTTTGAGGATGATGAAGAAGACGGGGAAGAATGGTTCGAACTGGTGATCAACCAAAAAATTTCACAGAACCGTTGGAACGACGACTCTACTTTTTTGGACGATCTGTCGCTCTTTACGTGACTGTTTTGTGGATCATACTGAACTGAAGTATGGCCTGTGATGAAATTTTCCAACCTCATGGCCTAAATTCTTCTTCTTATGCCCCAACCCCGAAAAGAATCAGATCAGACGTTGGTGGCGTGGCGGGTGTAGATTATAGAACTGGAAAAAAAAAAAAAAAAGGTTAGGTGGTGCTTAACTATGATTTTATTTTTGGTCGTCTATTTTTTTTATTTGTCTTATAGTTTAATTTAAAAACGTTTATAAAATTCTGATTTAGAAACTGAAAAATAAAATAGTTTTCAAAACCCTATTTTTTCATTTTTGAAATTTGATTAAAACCTCAAAACTGTTTTAAAAAAATTAGACAAAAAGAATTTGTTTCTTCAAAATTAAAAACTAAAAAAATAAAATTGTTATCCAATGTAGCTTACTGTATAATTAACTTAGAATGCTTTAGATTATTTGCTTATTTATTCGTACTAACAAACAAAACTGTTTAGAAATAACAAAGTTATTATTTTTAAATAATTAGTTCCCGATAGGTAGAAGTTTGAACTTTATTATTCTTTTTTAGTTCGACATGTGAGATTATATGTCTTAGCTAATTTAACTATTATTTATTGGCCAGCATAAGCTTAACTTAGCGGTAATTGACACGTTGTCTTTGACTAAGAAATCATGAATTCGAATCTAATTCCTAAGATAGATGACCATCGTGTGATTTGAACTCTTTCCCTCTCAATTTACCATAATTCATTTGGACCAATAAGTTATGGTTAATGAAGCACTTAACTTTATACACACGGATCTAAAACTGAGTCAACTCTTTAAATAAAAAATTTATAAAAAAAAAGGTTCACTTTTGACTCATTTATATTTCCTATAAACAGAGAGATATTATTCCTATTCACAGCTCCAATATTTAGTGTTGAGATTATGATTGGAATCCTTGCTAACACCTTGCATTTTTCAAAAAATTTGCCTTGATCTTGCAGATTGAGTCAAGAATCTCTTTGGAACTTGCCCTCTTCTCTGGTGATTCTACTGTGCAAGACAAGGCCAACAACATAATGGATGATAGGCACTCACTCCTATGATTGTAAGTTATTCTGTCATCCATTAGCAGATTGGAATCTACAACGTTATTTACTGAGTGAGGATATGATTTGGCTACCCATTCTCTCAAGCAAATTCCTTGTGCAGAAAACATTTCATCAGTGGGCTTCTTTCCTGTGAATGTTTCCATCAGCAGAATGCCATAACTATAAACATCACCTCTTCTTGAAACAATGCCATCCAATCCTAACTCTGCATGCAATGCAACAACAAAAACTTGTTGATTAAGGCATGTTATTATATGGTATGCAGACAAGAGTTTGAAGTTTAACAAAAGAGTGTCTCTGTCACCTGGAGCCATGTATCCCACAGTCGCAAGGGTCATGGTTTGCATAACAGATTCTCCTCCTCCCAAGAGTTTTGAAATCCCAAAATCTGTCAAGTGTGCAACCATATCTCCATCTAACAGTATATTGCTGGGTTTCAGATCACAATGAACTATAGGTTTCCCATAACCATGGTGGAGATAATCAAGGGCTGAAGCAACATCCACCATTATATTCAATCTCTCAAGGATGTTCAAGCAATGATCTTGATGATACAGCCACATCTCAAGACTTCCGTTTGGCATGAATTCTAGCACCAATGCTTTGAAATCCATACTGCTGCAATTTGTGATGATTTTGACAAGGTTTCTGTGATGTATATTGCACAAAATCTCGCACTCTGCTTCAAAGCTCTTGTATGCATTCTCAGCCAGCAAATTGAACACCTTTACAGCAGCAATGGTTCCATCTGACAGTGTTGCCTTGTAGACTGATCCAAAATTCCCTCGACCGACCAAATTGTTTTCACTAAATCCTTGTGTTGCTTGTGAGATTTCCCGGTATGTGGTTCTTCTCCATGTTGGTTGATAAGGCACCAGACTATCCTCAAGTACTTGTTCTTTCTTCCCCCTCAATCGGAATTTGAAGAAAAGTAATACAAGTATCAATAAAAATATGGTTAACAAGGTAGGCACAAGGATAAATACCAGTATATTTGTTTTCTTCCTTGACCGTTGGACTGTATTTGTTGTGCAAGGTGGGACTTGGAGTCTAGAAGAAGCAGCACATAGCCCACGATTTGAGATGAATGATTGAGCTGAGAAGTTGGAAAAAGGACCCCCATTTGGAATTTCTCCTTCTAGTTGGTTAAAGGACACGTTAAAATGCTCAAGACGAGACAGTTTCTCCAAAGACTTCGGAATCACACCAGTTAAGTTATTGCTAGACAAGTCCAAAGTTTTCAGACCAACCAAATTGCCAAATGAGTTTGGAATAGAGCCTTGTAGCTCATTGTGCGATACTGAAAGATTAACCAAATCTGCAAGGCCTCCAATGCTGCTTGGAATCTCACCAGAGAGTTTATTTTTTGAGAGATCTATATCCAACACAACTTTTAGATTCCCAATGTCTGCTGGGAGAGACCCACTCAAAGAATTTGATGACAAGTTCAGGTGCAGGATATAAGATAGGCTCCACAAAGACGATGGCATTGTAGAATTGAAGTTGTTGGAGCTCAGTGACAGAGTTCTTAAACTTGAGAGTTTATCAAAGCATGCAGGTAGTGAACCAGAGAGCTTGTTATTACCTAAAAACAACTCAATCAAGTTCGTCAGTTGACAAAATTCCATCGGGATGATTCCTTCTAAGTTGTTGTTACTGAGATGGAGACCTTGAAGTTGTTTTAGTTTCCCTATTGAAGCTGGAACATTTCCAATAATTTCATTGTCATCCATGGCTAGGACTGTCAATGCTCTTAAGTTGCCAATATCTTTAGGAATCTGACCTTTCATTCCAGCATTCACCATTGAAATGTATTGCAGTGAAGCAGAGAAGTTTCCAATGGAGCTTGGGAAGAAGATGTTTAAAGGATTATGTGACAACTCCAACCAAACCAAGCTTGTTAAGTTGGTTAGAAAACTAAAAATACTCCTTTGAGAAGGGAGAGATTCAGTGGTGAAGTTGTTGAACTGCAAACCAAACCACTGAAGGTTTTTAAGTTTACCAAAAGCAGTAGGAATTAACCCAGAAAATGAGTTTGCTGAAATATCAAAGAGAGTGAGCATAGAAGCATTGGAGATAGATTCAGGAATAGTTCCTGTGAGTTTGTTTAGTCCTATAGTAAACTGAACAAGATTGGGAAGTCCGACTCCAAAATCTGGTGGGAGAGTACCAGAAAGTTGATTCTTAATAAGAGCCATGGTAGCTAAATTTGAAAGATTGAAGATTGCTGATGGTATTGTGCCATTGAAGAAGTTCATTTGCAACCCCAAAAACTTGAGATTTTGAAGGTAACCCAACTCATAAGGTATCTCACCTGTTGCATCAAACAAAACAAGGTTGAAATTGGAAATATATGCTTAAAATTAACTTCACATTGTAGGAAAATTCAAACGATAGTTAATTAAGGATGGAATTTTTCATCATAGTTGTGTTCATTTAGTATCGAGAATCACAACATTAACTTTCATATATTTTGCTTCTAATAAGCTTGATTGTAATATTTCTTCTGATTAGAAGGTTTCTTTTACAACGTAGTATTGGGGTCACTCAAAGGGCCATACCTCTGTTGAATTAATTAGTGCAGCTTTGATACCACTTGTTGAATAAATTAACACAAAAGGAAAGAGACGATCACTTGAAGAAAGATATTTTTATTAGCAAAGTAGAAATATGGACACTCTTGATGGAAGACTCTCACACTCTCTAACTTTCCTCTCTCTTTCTTCACTCACTTCGTTTAATTTACTCCCTTCACTCTTTCACTTGATTCACATGTACATCTCTCTTATTTATAGGAGAAAGATCCTTGGAACCCAAGCAAAAAGAACTTTCTAGGCTCTTCTCAAATCTTACATATTCTAGATCTTTCTTTATCTATTCTTATCCAAAAGATGTCTCTAGAATCCTTTGGAACCTAAGGGAAAGTCTAAGATATTTTCAGATCATTTATTTACAATATTTAAGAGTAATCTAGAAAGACTAATTATTACCCATAGAGAAATGTGCAGAAACTTCCAAGAAGTTTTTTGATAGTTAGTGTTGTATTTCAACAACTTCATTGTGCAGTTAATATATCAAATGGTCGTGTTCTTAGACCACGCTCTTTGTGCAGTACATATTATAAGTGCGGCAATCTCCTACTTGGAGCACCCCACATCACCCGTGCATGCAATGTGCTTTATGCGTGCCTAACGTGGCACACATGCCATCACCACGACTTTTCGATCCAACCCTTGTGCACCAGGCATGACACACATATGTAACCACTGAGGTCCATCGGTCTAACCTTTACACACCAAGCAGCACGCATACGCCACTACGATCCATCGCCCTAACCCTTGCGTATCAAGGGTGGCATAGAAGGGGAAAAAAGATAATTTCTAATCCAATCTATTTTTTGGTTATCTAAAATAAGATAGGTGAAATATATATGTGTATATATATAAAAAGGAAAAAAACGGAAAAAAAAAGAATCACGATAGGGGAAGATTTCCTCTCCTGTCGGTATCGACCCGATCCCTTTAATACGTTGACATGTCGACGTGTCGCTTGAGTTTTAATACTCTGCTTTAGTTATCGATTTAAAACCTTTTAAATTTTGCAATTGTGTGGTTAATAGTGGTTAAATTAATTAATTAAAGAAAAAAGAAGAAAAAAAACTGGAAAAACTGAAATGGTACCCGACAAATAATTGGCCCCGAGGAAGAGGTTCGTCAGGCGAGATAAGTTCCCGAAATTTCTGGGTACGCTTCCCGTAAACTGATTATTTGACAGTGACAAATCCCTAAGATTTTCACATCGCCACAGCGTCGAAGGAAGTCCACCGGAGAGCTGATTATCAGACAAATACAATCCTTCCAGTGCCGGAAGATTTTCACAGATGTCGTCCGGAACCCAGCCGGTGAAGTTATTCCAGGTTAGACCCAACGCCACTAGAGACGAAAGGTTGAAGATCACCGAAGGAATCGGCCCTGAAAATAAATTCATTTCAAGGTCCAATTTCTTCAGCCTTCGAAGCTTTCCAATCTCCGACGGGATTTCTGCTATGCCGAAAGAAATTTGTTTACTAAATTCACAATCCTCAGGTAAGGTAATCTCATTTATTACCCTAGCCTCTTCAGTTAAATGACTAACTCTAATGTCACAATTAGTAACGATAAATCATTAGGATGACTGTATTAGTCAAATACCTATACCTGTGAGTTGATTACCATGAAGATATAAACTTTCAAGCATCGTCAGGTTGCCAACTTCCCTTGGTATGCCTCCTGTAAAATAAAAATGAAATTTTCCACCTCAAGCCCGAGAACTTATTTAATTACTTTTTGCCTGAGGCTGGGGGTTGCACAAAACCTTACCTGAAAGCTGGTTGAATCGTAGATTAAGTATTTGAAGTGAAGTTAAGTTGAAAAGGGAGGTGGGAATGGGGCCAGAGAACTGATTTCCCAAAAGATACAGTTTCTCTATTCTCTGCAGTCGCCCTAACCAAGAGGGAATCTCTCCACTGAAGTCGTTGTATGCAATGTTGAGTAGCTTCAACCGAGGTAGATAAATGAGCTCAATTGGAAGTGGACCATGAAAGCTGTTGTTCATGATGATAACGTAGGTGAGGAAAGAGAGAGTTCCAATTTCAGGAGGAAATGAACCTGTGAGATCCATATAAGAAAAGTTTAAGCTTGTGACTCTGTTGTGCTTAATACTACACCCTATGCCAACCCAATTGCAAACTGAGGAAGTTGTAGACCAATTGTTTGTGATAATGCCATAGGGGTCGTTTGTGATGTGGGCTTTAAGAGCAAGCAGGGCTGACTTGTCGGTGGTAATGTTTGCAGCAAAAGCCATGGATAGGTTGCCTATTACAAAGAGTTGCACCAATGAAAAAGCTGAAGGAAAGAACCAACGCCTCTCCATTCTTTTTTTTTTTTTTGGAAGAATGATGGATTTTGATTGATCAACAGATGAGAAATGCATCCAGGTTAGCAGCTATATAATTAATATTCAAGTGTCTATCTATAGTATATAAGGGCCATTTGATTGTGTTATGGTCCCATTTATTGCTTGTGTTTTTCAAGTTTTTTAAATTATTTAATGATGAAAATTGTTGGTTGAGCAAATTGTTGTCTAAGCTTAGACTGCATTTCCATCCCTCCATGAACTCATTGGAATATTTTTGTATAATAATCACTAAATAATGCCATATATCTCTGATTGCCTTGACTTGATAATTCTTATAGGCACCCAAGATAAAGACCCCTTATTTCTGCTTTTTTTTTTTCCCTTTCTTGCTGTCCAAACAAACGTTAAGCGAGAAAAGAAATGTAGGGAGAATTCTGTGTAGGGCCATGATGCCTATCCTTTAGCAGTCAACTTGTCAATTAAACCTCATTATTAAGCACGAGAGAAACGGGCAGATCAGATGATTTGAGTAGATCGTCCATTAGAAGACCAGCTTTCTTCCGATTAACTAAACGTTTCTTTGACTACGTGGTTAGAATTTATGATTTCATCTTTATTTTGTAATTCATTAATTTATTTTGTATTTGATTTGGTCAAAGGGAAGGATCAATATAAATATAATCAATTAACTTCAGCAAGAAACAACCTGAAAATAAATTATATAATTATGGAAAATCATTGCATAAGATAATTATATGTTCAGAATTCTATTGACTCGGTCACCCAGGGTTAGGCAAGTGTTTACTTTTAATTCTTAAACATTGGTATCTTCGCTTGTTTTTCTATTTGTTTACATCTTATTTAGCTGACTGTAATCCAGAAAGAGTGCAAGATAAGTGCAAAAGTCTGCTATTGAAGCAGAGAAGCTGTCAAATCTTGAAATCTGAAATATTTGCAGTTCGCAAGAGAATACTTGAATCGAAGATTGATCCGTAAGAATTTTGTTTCACAGCTTGAGGAACTCGGAACTTTGCAGATTACCGAAGTTACGATCAAATATGGCATAGCATAGTTAAGTTGATTAGAAGATGAAATGTATTTATTTATTATAAAAGTTCGGAAATAACTAACTGATTTTTTTAAAATTTGCTAATTGTTGGTGCATCTTTATATACATGCAGACTTCGGACAACACTTGATCCATCAAGTCACTGTTGATTATTAATTTGGATATATTCTATTACTTGCATTTACTTATTTAATGATGAATTGGATTTATTGGTATTCAGATTTAAGCATTAGTGAAGCAACCTGGATAATGTTGGTCGATTTATGTACATGAAGTCACACATCATATCCTAAACTTTAGCGAGTTCTTAAGATTAAGGGGAAAACAAAATATAAAAGTTAGTTCATGGCATATTGAAGTGGATATTCATTTTTCTCATCTTAAAGAGTTTGTACATATTTCTACATTTATATGACAATGTCTATCCTAGATCTAAATTTGTATAGTTTGTTTTTGGCTCTATCTAAAAGATCTCGGACCAATAAGATCGTTGCCCATACTTATATATCTAAGGCTTACCTCGATTTCTAATCAATGTACATTGCAACCTCAACCCCCTGCAAGGTCAAAAAGTTTGTCTTGATCTTGTTGAGTGAGTCAAGAACTTCTTTGGTACTTGCCCTCTTTTCTGGCGATTCTGCTGTGCAAGTCAAGGCCAGTAGCATGATGGATGACAGACATTCACTCCTATAGTTAAATTTTTTGTCATCCTTTAGCAACTTCGGATCTATGACATCGTTTAGTTAGTGAGGATATGATTTAGCTACCCATTCTCTTAAGCCCATTTCTCTTGCAGAAAACATTTCATCTGTGGGCTTCTTTCTTGTGAATGTCTCCATCAACAGAATCCCATAGCTATAAACATCACCTCTTGTAGAAACAATTCCATCCAATCCCAACTCTGCATACAGTAGTACATCAAAGAACTTGTTGATTAAAGCATATTATACGGTATGCAAAAGTGAAACTTGGAAGTTTAAGAACTATTGTCACCTGGAGCCATATATCCCACAGTCGCCATGGTCATGGTTTGGGTTATGTAATCTCCTCCACTCAATAGATTTGAAATCCCAAAATCTGTCAAGTGTGCAACCATATCTCCATCTAACAGTATATTATTGGGCTTTAGATCACAATGAACTATAGGTTCTCCGTAACCATTGTGAAGATAATCAAGGGCTAAAGCAACATCAATCATTACATTCAATCTCTGAAGCATATTCAAGCAGTAATCACGATGATACAACCACAACTCAAGACTTCCATTTGGCATATATTCTAGTACCAACGCTTTGAAATCCATGCTGCTGCAGCTTGTAATGATTTTGACAAGATTTCTATGGCGTATGTTGCACAAAATCTCGCACTCTACTTCAAAACTCTTGTATGCAGTTTCAATTAGCAAATTGAATACCTTAACAGCAGCAATTGTTCCATTTGATAGTGTCGCCTTGTAGACTGATCCAAAGTTCCCTCGACCTATCAAGTTGCCTTCACTGAATCCTTCTGTTGCTCGTGAAAGTTCTTGGTATGTGGTTCTTCTCCACGTGGGTTGATGAGGTAATGGGGTATCCTCCAGTACTTGTTCTTTCTTCCTCGCTCGTGAGGTCAGAACAAGTAGTAAAAGTATTAGTGAAAATATGGCTAACAGGACAGGCAGAAGGATAAATACCAGCATATTTGTTTTCTTCCGAGCCATGAGATGTATTTGTTGTGCAAGGTGGGACTTGGAGTTTAGAAGAAGCTGCACAAAGTCCATGATTTGATATGAATGACTGAGCTGAGAAATTCGAGAACGGACCTCCACTTGGAATTTCTCCTTCCAATTGGTTGAAGGAGACATTAAGATACTCGAGATGAGAGAGTTTCTCTAAAGACTTTGGAATCACACCTGATAAGTTATTATTGGACAAGTCTAAGATTTCCAAACTAACCAAGCTGCCAAATGAGTCTGGAATAGAGCCTTCGAGCTCATTATGAGATAATGAGAGATTAATCAAATTTGCAAGGCCTCCCATGCTACTTGGGATTTTGCCAAAGAGTTGATTCTTGGAGATATCTATATCCAACACGGCTCTAAGATTTCCAATCTCTATTGGCAGAGATCCACTTAGAGAATTTGATGATAGGTTTAGATGCAAGATATAAGAAAGGCTCCATAAAGAAGATGGCATCGTAGAATTGAAGTTGTTGGAGCCCAATGACAGAGTTCTTAAGGCTGAAATATTATCAAAGCAGGTCGGCAGTGTTCCAGAGAGCTTGTTATTACTCAAAAATAACTCAACCAAATTCTCTAGTTGACAAAGTACTGTTGGGATGTTACCTTGTAAGCTATTGTTACTAAGATGTAAACCTTGAAGTTGTTTTAGTTTTCCTATTGAAGCCGGAATGGTTCCAGTGATTTGATTGTCATCCATAATTAGGACTGTCAATGCTCTTAAGAAGTTACCAATATCTTTAGGAATTTGACCCTTCATTCCGGTGTTTACCATTTAAAAATACTGAAATGAACTAGAGAAGTTTGCAATGGAATTCGGAAGGTAGATATTTAGAGGATTATGTGATAATTCCAATCTTACCAAGCTCGTTAAATTGGTCAAAAAACTAAAAATACTCCTTTCTGAAGGGGGAGATTCAGTGGTGAAGTTGGTGAGCTCCAAATTTATCCACTCGAGGTTTTTGAATTTACCAAAAACGCTGGGAATCAACCCGAAAAATGAGTTTTCTGCAACATCGAATAGAGTGAGCTTAGAAGCATTGATGATAGATTCAGGAATGGTTCCAGTGAGCTTGTTTCTTCCTAAAACAAGTTGGACAAGATTAGGAACGCCATCACCGAGGTCTGGTGGGAGAGTTCCAGAAAGTTGATTCTCAACTAGAGCAATGGTACTTAAGTTTTTTGAAAGGTTGAAGATTGACGATGGTATTGTGCCATTGAAGAAGTTCTGTTGCAACGCCAAATACTCAAGGTTTTGAAGATAACCCAATTCATAAGGTATCTCACCTGTTGCACAAGCAAAACGTGATCCACACGTGTACTATACAAACTTCACATATGAAAATTCAAACAATTATTTGCCTAGGCTATTATTTCACGACAAACATACCTGTCTTTTTTAGTTCTTCAACCTCAAAGATGTAATTAGTGTCTGTTACATTTGGACTGGTAGTGTTTATTTGTTTACGAACCGTATATAATTCATTTATAAATAGTATATGTCAACTGTCATCCAGGTTTTTTTTTCATGATAAATGTATAAGACACCTAATAAAAGTCTTTGGATGATGGTTTGATCTCCTCGAATTAGAAAAAATAAAGTCAAATCAAATGATACCTGACAGATGGTTGGCTCCGAGGAAGATCCGTGTCACCCGGGTTAAGTTTACTACAGCTCTGGGTATGCTTCCTGTAAACTGATTATATGACAATGATAGATCAATGAGATTTTCACTGCGCCACAGCGTGGAAGGAAGTTGGCCAGAGAGAGAATTGTAAGACGAATACAATCCTCCCAGCAGCGGAAGATCTTCACAGATACCATCCGGAAGCCCGCCGGTGAAGTTATTCCCTGATAGGCCCAATGTGACTAGAGACGAAAGGTTGAATATGGCCGAAGGAATCGGCCCTGAAAATAAATTAAACTCAATGACCAATGTCTTCAGCCGTTGAAGTTTCCCAATCTCCCTTGGAATTTCTTCAAAACCGAAAGCAACTAACATTAGGACGACTGTATTGAGAATTCTATCCTGAGCTACATAAATTTTGATGTCAAAACTGGATTAGCCAAATACCCGTGAGCTGATTACTGTCGAGATATAAATCTTCCAGCATCGTCAGGTTTCCAACTTCTCTCGGTATGCTTCCTGTAAAATAAGAACAAAATTTCCACCAAAAGCCAAACAGAGCAAGGTTAGAACATATTGGATTACTTTCTGGCTGAGCCATGGGGGCTGCACAAAACCTTACCCGAAAGCTGACTCATCTGAAGATTAAGCATTAGAAGCGAAGTTAAGTTGAAAAGGGAGGTGGGAATGAAGCCAGAGAATTGATTCCCACAAAGATACAGCTTCTCCATTCTCGGCAGTCGCCCTAACCATGATGGAATCTCTCCACCGAAGTTGTTGTTTCCAATACTGAGTAGTTTCAACCGAGGCAGATTGATGAGCTCCATTGGAAGTGGATCATGAAAGCTGTTGTTCTTGATGGTAATGTAAGTGAGGAAAGAGAGAGTTCCCACTTCAGGAGGAAATGTGGCCGTGAGACCCATGTAAGAAAAATTTAAGCTTGTGACTCTGTTGTGCTTAATACTACAAACTATGCCAACCCAGTTGCAGACTGAGGTAGTTGCAGACCAATTGTTTGTTATAATGCCATAGGGATCGCTTGTGATGTGGGATCTTAGAGCAAGAAGAGCTGCCTGATCTGTGGTGATGTTTGCAGCAGAGGCCATGGATAAGCTGGCTATTACAAGGAGTTTCATCAAGATAAAGGCTGAAGAAGAAAAGAACCAACCCCTCTCCACTGTTTTGGAAGAGATGCATGCACGTTGGCAGCTATAAAGCTAATGTTCAAGTGTTTATCTGTGATATGTAAGGGCCATTTGGCATTTCTTTTTTGTGTTTGTCTAGTTTTTGAAATTTCTTACTGATGAAAATTGTTGGTTTGAGCAATAGTTGTCACAATCTTAGACTGTATTTTCATTCCTCCATGAGATCATTGGAATCTTTTCTTATAATAATCACCAAATGGTGCCATCTGTACCTGGTTATCTTGACTTTTGATCATTTTTATATAAATTGAAACCCCAAGCTTTTTTTTTTTTTAAATCAAAAGTTTTCCCTGATTTTACTTTAGAATTTAGTCGCTGTCCAAACAAAGGGCGAGTGAAAGAAATGTAGGGAGATTCTGTGCTTAGGCCATTGATGCTGATCTTTTAGAAGTCAACTTGTTGCTCGAAACTTCTTCGGGGAGATCAGATGCAATTAGACTGGCAGCTTTCTTTCAATAAAAGACACATTTCTTTGACTTTGTGGTTAGAATTTATGATATCATCATTATCATCCTTATTTTTTAATTGATTATTTGATTATGTATTTGATTTGGTCAAATAAAGATAATTAGCTCTAATCAATTTAATAGAAAAAAGCCTGAAAAATCAATCATATAATCATGGAAAGTATAATCATCGAAAATCATATTATAAGATAATTAACTATCATAATTCTATTGAGTGGACCTAGGGTATGATAAAAAGGAAAAAAAGTGGACCGAGGATTAGGCTAAGGCAAGGTGGCTTTTTTTTAGTTGAATAACATGTCTTTTGATTGAGAATTTTACCTTTAACTAGTTGAAATGTATTTAGGTTGATGTTGATTCATAAACTTTTATAATTTATACATATAAACCTGTATTTAAATACGTGACGTTATTCATGATGTCTATTTATAAACTTTAGTTAGGTTGACATTTATTCGTATCATAACTTTAGTTAGGCCAAACTAAGCATAGTTCAAATAGTTAAGACGTCTATCTCTGACCAAAAGGTCGTGAGTTCGAACTCCCACTCCATCAATATTGTACTTAAAAAAAATAAAAGACTCTGACTTATTCACAAACTAGTCTAATAAATTTTTGACCTTCAATTTTTGTGTTAAATAGGTTTGTAGAATTTAAACATGAAATTTTGGGATGTCTTTGGTATGGTAACTCATATTCTCTTTCTTATTTTCATATTTAATTTAGTGAATATTTTGAAAACAACAGTATTTTTCAAATTGAGAATATAAAAGAATAAATATACTATTTCATATAATAAATAAAAAATTAAAACTGATAAGATCTAATATATTATAAATTTATAATATTGTAAATTAATAATGCTACAAAATTTAAAATATATATATTAATAAATTAATTGATAATATTTGGATTAAATATTTAGTTGGTAACTATACTAATTTATAAATATATTACTAAAAACTTTGAACAAAATTTTAAATTGAAATTTAATTTTTTAATTCTGTTACTAAATACAAAATAGGATTGTTAAGATATAGGATTGTTAAAAAATGCTAAATAGGATTGAAAATACAATTGTTTCTTATATAAAAAAAAAGAAGATTGAAAATAAAATTCTATTCTTCTGTATTAGATGATTGTTCTTTAAAGTTCAATTACTAAATTTGTAATTTGTGTTTAGGCTTTCCCTATTGAAAAAAAAAAAAAATCAGAATAATTTTAAAATGTTTATCCGATATTTAAGGGTTTGGGGCTTGGAGAGCGACTTTGAAGAAAAGCCCTGAAACCCTCATCTCCTTTCCTTCGTCTGCTGTGGCCGTCACTCTACCTCGGCAGATTCAACCGACGATGGTACTGTTTCTGCTACTTGTTATTGTTTATCTCATATCATATGATTTTGCAGTATCAAACTTGTAGTGTAGAGGACTAGCTGGTTGTTTCATGTTTTTTACGGTAACTTGATTCGAATTGCAGGCTTCGGAGAAGAAGCTTTCGAACCCCATGCGCGATATTAAAGTCCAGAAGCTGGTTCTTAACATTTCCGTCGGCGAAAGCGGCGATCGTCTCACCAGAGCCGCCAAGGTCTCCGCCCTTCTTCTTTTGCGCACTCGTTTTTTTCCCTTTCATAACTTCACCCCATATGCATTCCGATCGATTTCTTGAATTCTACAACGGTTTCTTTATCCATAGGTGCTTGAACAACTAAGTGGCCAAACCCCCGTCTTCTCGAAAGGTGCTGTCGCTATTTCATTTCAATTTTATGTTTCTTTTTTCTTAGACCCTAGGGGTCTCTGTTGTTTGTTTTCTAATTTTCGTTTCTGTGAATGGAATAGCCCGTTACACCGTTCGGTCTTTTGGGATCAGGCGTAATGAGAAGATCGCGTGCCATGTGACAGTGAGGGGCGAAAAGGCAATGCAACTTCTTGAAAGTGGTTTGAAGGTTAAGGAATACGAACTCTTGCGCAGGAACTTCAGTGATACTGGCTGCTTTGGTTTTGGTATTCAGGAGCATATTGATCTCGGAATCAAGTTAGTTCTCATTATCCATTATCCTTTCTTAATCTTTGTGATTGTTATATGTCTGTATATTCAACACACATTGTTCTTGCTCACTAGGAACCTTATGTCCTACCTTAAACTGATTTAAGAATATACATTTTCGGGTTTTGGTCTTGCTGTAGTTACAGAAACTGGCCTGATTAGAATTCTGACATTATTGGCTTTACTCTTAAGCACTGTAAATGAGCAAACTTTATCTGAAACTGGTCATAGAGGAGACGCTGGAAACATTGGATAATCTCATCATACTGTAGGAGTGGCGTTGATACGGAACCGTACTTATACATGAATTGAATACACACTTTGAGTTGAGAATTGAGAATTTAAACTTTTGATTATATTTGATTATGCAATAGTGGCTTTCCATTCAGTAAATAATCTGCTGACCAAGGCATGTGTAATCCGGGAGGGTCTAGTTTTTCTGATCTGTAATGATAACATATATGCATTATTGAGCTATATGGAGCCTTGACAAATAATCACTGTCTTTTCTCCATCTTTAGGTATGACCCTTCTACTGGTATATATGGTATGGACTTCTTTGTTGTTCTAGAACGTCCAGGTTACCGTGTAGGGCGTCGACGTCGATGCAAGTCACGTGTTGGAATTCAGCATAGAGTCACCAAAGAGGATTCAATGAAGTGGTTTCAAGTTAAATATGAAGGTGTCATCCTTAATAAGTCTCAAAACATTACTGGCTAGATTACCCTCAACTTTGGTGGCTTTACAGGTTTTTGTAGTCTCTTTGTTTTTTTATTGGAATTTACTTTAAGGTTGAAGACATTGATTATTTTTTACCTGTATTCTTGAGACTGAAAAAAAAAAACTTCATTCTAATGGAAATTTTATTATCTTGCGACTGAAATTGAAGAGTTTCCCTATGACTTGGTAGAATGCAATAGTGTTGTGGCTGTCAAGCAAAGAGGTAAAAGATTATCATCTGTGATATTTTTTGTGGTTATTTTGTACCAAACATTAGATTATACTCATGCAGCAGTCAATGCTAAAAGGAATCACCTGTTTGTGTGTGCGCACTGTGAATGCAAACACGTCTGTATCCTTGCCACCCCAGGATTAGGGCCCGTGTGGAGGCAGTCTACTATCGCGCTGCTGATTTTAGACTTTAGAGATAAACGATATGTCTGAGAATTAGACTTTAGAACATCCATCAGATTTAATGTTTTTTGAATTTTATGGTCCAATCCGAACACTGTAGATTAGCTTGCATTTTTATCATCAAAACAACATGATGAAACAAGTAGAAAGTGGAACACAACGGGAAAATTTAAAATAAAAATGGAAGAGACTGATGATTTACTGTGGTGACTGATTTTATCCGGCACAGAAGAACAGCAGGGGCATGACGAATTTCTCCTAAAAATGGTCTACCATGGTTTAGGATCTCAGAAGTTCCAGGAGCTCATTTTTCTTCAATTTGGAATAACCCTTAATTCCTCTAGATTTTGCTACTGCTTTCAGCTCGGTAAGCTTCATATTCTCTACACTTGGGAACTTCATTTCCCTGCTTTCAGCTATGGCCTGAGAAGGCTCCTCCCTAAGCTGTGATCGTGAACCATTTCTTCCTGGGGGAGATGGGATTGGTGATCTCTTCACGAATTTAGATGGTGGTCGAACTAACTTGAATTCTGCTGCTGGCGAAGTATGATACATTTCCGGCTCTTCAGAGATGCCCTTTCTTCTCAACACTTTAACTCCTGCCTTCTTTGAAGTTCTGCCTGCCATTGCCCCCAATGTGTTGATTTAATTAATAAAGATATGGGAGATAGAAATTCGTTAATCATAACTTGAATTTTGTTCTTGCGAGATTCATTCATGGGTTTTGAAATGTGGGACAAATTTCCCTCAAAAGCATCAGATGAGATGAGATGAGACAACCAAGAAATTACCTTTGACTTGCTTCCTTGATTCACGAAGACTCTCCAAAATAGACTCGGCTCCAATCTCATCCTCGTGGGAATCTTCATCTTTGGTGGTTGCAGAGTCCTTGGCAATGGAAGTCTGAATCTTTCTGAAGAGAGCAATTATCTCCTCCTGGTTATTTGATTTGGGATTTTTTAGGTCTTCAGCTGCCTCGTTTCTATTGGGTTCATTCTTTCTGGTCCTTCCTGGCCCAGAACTTCTACGGGGAGGCCGTTGCCCTGCATTTCCACCCCCATTGCTCGTAACAGATACTTGAATTCCCTTGCTAGAATTCACAGCTGCAATCTCTGCCAAATTTAACAAGCTGCATCAAAAATTAATCCCTCAGCTTGTGAACCACACAAGATTTAGCCCTCGGGCACAGCTGCAACAGAAGTTGTTCAATTTAAGAAGATGGGTTTTGTGGGAATGGGGAAGGCAAGGAAGAAGAAGCCCCATAGGCCATACCTTTCAAAGCGAAAATGGGTCTCCTTCCAAAAGAGACCAAATTGGGAAAGCGTAGAGTTCGAGACTGGAAAACTACTGCCTCCATCTGATTTTCCCTGAAAAATGCAGTTCTTGGAATATCCAAACTGCATCAGATCCACAAGCTGTGTGTATATTTTATAGGTCGGTACTTCTTCATTGCCATTCAACGCTGGTCCACAAGCTTCTGAAGCGCCTGCTCCCACGTGGCCATCTCACTGTTCAATCTTCCTTTTTATTTGTCCCATCCTCTCTCCTTTCGTTGCTCTCTCTTTCTTTAATAGCAGAAATTTCGCTACCATTTTTGCTCCTTCTCACTGGGGCTCTGCGGCAAAAGCCATGCTATTGGTGGCAAAATCTCCTCCAACCTTCTGGTTATCTCCCACCGGGCACGATCGCCATGGTTTAGTGAACCTGAAATTCTCGCATTCCTTCGTCTTTGCCAAACCAAAATCAAAATTTTCCTTTTCGAATTCGGCCTATGCTTGTACGCAGATTTACCCTTCACCATCGCAAACGAAAAGCTATCTCGATATTGAACTTGATAACTCCGCCAGAATTGTCGAGTTTTGTGAAGTGGGTGATCTGAAAAATGCTATGGAGCTTCTCTGCAGCTCCGGAAATGCCAACCTTGACTTGGAAACTTACTGCTCCGTCTTGCAGCTTTGTGCTGAACGAAAATCGATTCGATATGGGAAAAGGGTTCATTCAATAATTGAATCTAATGGGGTTGTGATGGACGGAATCTTGGGGGCGAAACTAGTTTTTATGTATGTAAAATGTGGGGATCTAAAAGAAGCGAGGATGATTTTTGATAAACTATCGGAACAGAAGGTTTTCCTCTGGAACCTCATGATTAGTGAGTATGCGGGAAATGGTAACTATGTGGAGAGTGTAAATTTGTTCAAGCGAATGATGGAGTTGGGGATAAAACCTAATTCTTATACATTTTCTAGTGTTTTAAAATGTCTCGCTGCAGTTGCACGTGTAGAACAAGGCAGGCTGGTTCATGGGTTTATCTGCAAGCTGGGGTTTTCATCCTATAATACAGTCGTTAACTCGCTAATTTCTTTCTACTTCGTGAGTAAAAAGGTTAGAAGTGCACAGAAGCTGTTTGATGAATTGAGTGACCGAGATGTGATATCATGGAACTCTATGATCAGTGGCTATGTTAAGAATGGTTTAGAAGACAAGGGAATTGAGATTTTCATAAAGATGTTAGATTTCAGTGTTGATGTTGATTTGGCTACAATGGTCAATGTGCTTGTGGCTTGTGCAAATACGGGCACTCTTTTGTTGGGTAAGGCACTTCATTCTTATGCAATAAAGGCGGCTTCTTCTCTTGACAGAGAAGTTATGTTCAAGAATACTTTACTGGACATGTACTCAAAATGTGGAGATTTGAACAGTGCCATCCGGGTTTTTGAGAAAATGGATGAGAAAACCGTTGTATCTTGGACTTCGATGATTGCAGGCTATGTACGTGAAGGTCTATCCGATGGTGCAATTGAGTTGTTTGATGAAATGAAAAGCAGAGGCGTCGTCCCGGATGTTTATGCTGTGACAAGCATTCTTCATGCTTGTGCTATCAATGGCAACCTGAGTAGTGGGAAGATTGTACACAACTACATCAGGAAAAACAACTTGGAAACTAACTCGTTTGTTAGTAATGCTCTTATGGACATGTATGCCAAATGTGGCAGCATGAAGGACGCGCAGAGTGTTTTTTCTCACATGAAAGGGAAGGATGTAATATCATGGAATACTATGATTGGAGGTTACTCAAAGAACCATCTTCCAAATGAAGCTCTTAACTTGTTTGCAGAGATGCAAAGAGAATCAAAGCCTGATGGCACAACGGTGGCATGCATCCTTCCAGCCTGTGCGAGCCTTGCAGCGTTGGATAGAGGTAGAGAAATCCATGGATATGCATTAAGAAATGGATACTCTAAAGACAAATATGTTGTCAATGCACTTGTTGATATGTATGTAAAGTGTGGGCTATTAGTTCTTGCACGGTCACTCTTCGATATGATTCTCGATAAGGACCTTGTCTCATGGACAGTGATGATAGCAGGATATGGCATGCATGGTTTTGGTAATGAAGCTGTCGATATATTTAATCAGATGAGGATTTCTGGAGTTGAGCCTGATGAAGTATCCTTCATTTCAATTCTTTATGCCTGTAGCCATTCTGGATTGCTTGATGAAGGATGGAAATTTTTCAATATTATGAAGAAGGAATGTCGAATTGAACCCAAGTTGGAGCACTATGCTTGTATGGTGGATCTTCTTGCCCGAACCGGGAATCTGGTGAAGGCTCATAAATTCATCAAAACAATGCCGATCGAACCAGATGCAACAATTTGGGGTGCGTTGTTGTGCGGATGCAGGATACACCATGATGTCAAAGTAGCAGAGAAAGTTGCAGAACGGATCTTTGAGCTAGAACCAGAAAACACAGGATATTATGTACTTTTGGCAAACATCTATGCAGAGGCAGAGAAGTGGGAAGAAGTTCAAAAGTTAAGGAAGAAAATCGGACAACGTGGTTTGAAGAAAAATCCAGGCTGCAGTTGGATAGAGATCAAGGGCAAAGTCAATATCTTTGTTGCTGGAGATTGCTCCAAACCCCAAGCCAAGAAGATAGAGCTACTTCTGAAAAAACTAAGAAGCAAGATGAAGGAAGAAGGTTACTCTCCAAAAACAAGGTATGCCTTGTTAAATGCAGATGAAAGGGAGAAGGAAGTAGCCCTCTGTGGGCACAGTGAGAAGCTAGCCATGGCTTTCGGTATGCTGAATCTCCCACCCGGCAAGACTATACGGGTGACTAAAAATCTCCGAGTTTGCGGTGACTGTCATGAGATGGCCAAGTTCATGTCGAAGAATACCACGAGAGAAATCGTTTTGAGAGATTCGAATCGTTTTCATCATTTCAAAGATGGATATTGTTCTTGTAGAGGTTACTGGTGAATGGTGAATGAAATTCTTAGTAGCTTTCTTATACAAAGGACCCATTTTTTCACCCAATTACTAGTTGCTCTTTTCCCTCTTGAAGTTTACAACTTTGCAAATAACTTGAAATCAAAAGCTATGCCCACCTTCTCATCATCACTATGTCTGACCCTTGCTCTCAGAGAATTACATATGAATAAAAAGGTAGAACCCGCTTGAAGAGACACTGAACATAATGATATTTTATTGAGACAAGATAGCAAATGAAAATATAATAGAAAAAAACAAAAGGAAAAGAAATGATGTTGATAACACCCAAAATGAACACATCATAACATAACAAACTGTGAATCCTCTTCCCTTTCAAATAATTGGACCAAACCCCCTACATTTACAATGCCTCTCATGATTTCTTTACTATTGCTTCTACAAAAAAAATTTGAGAAAATTTAAAAACCCCAAAATTTCTATTCTAAAACTAAAACCGATTTCCACTCTCAACGACAACACTTGGACAGACAAACCAGAAAAACAATGAGAAAAATTATGGAAGAAAGCCCAATGGCGACTCCAAGAACTACTTTATTCGGTCCATCATGAGACTCTTTCTTGTGGCTGCTAGTATCATCTTCATCACTATCATCGTAGTCGCTGTTACTTTCATCAGCCGACGAATCTTCCTTAGCTGGCGGTGGCGACAATGGCAGCCCATGTCTATCACAAGGAGCAATCCCAAGCTTCAATTTAGATGATAAAATTGAATGGTTGTAGCACAGATTGCTATTCCCCTTTATCTTGAACATTTCCAACCTACTCAAGAAAGACCCATTGAAAGGCATTACCCCATGGAACTGGTTGCTCTCGAGATTAAGATACTTGAGGCTCTTCATCTCCGAAAGGAACTTGGGAATTGTTCCGTTCAACTGGTTCGAGCTCAGATCGAGGTGAACCAATCCTGGAATTGCCGTAATCGACTCAGGGATCGATCCCGACAGCGAATTCGATGCCAACGACAGGTTCTGAAGCGAAATCAGGTCTCCGACGGAAGTGGGTATCTCGCCATTGAACTCATTAGAGGCTAGATTCAGAGATTGAAGATTCTCCAGCAGAGTAATTGAGTTGGGTATCTTTCCCTTGAGATTATTACCCGAAAAATCAATGTGGGTAAGGTTGCGATTCAAATGCTTCGGAAAGAATCCTGTGAGATTCGCATTCGAAATAGTCACGGACTTGAGGATATTCATTCTGCCAAGTATGACAAAAGGACCGGAGGCATTAACAGGGACATTGGTGACAGAGAGATCGGTGAGGTTCTCGAGACGGCTGAGCCAGACGCCGGTGAGCCTGCGGAGGCTGTTAGTGCAGGTGAAGGATCGGAGAGAGGCGACCAGATCGGCGGGGAAGCGAATGGGGGAAACGGGGCAGTCAACAAATTGGAGAGATCTGAGAGTGGAGAGGGATTTCAGAGCAGTGAATGACAGAGCAACATCGTCGGAGCAATTGGCGAGGCGGAGGAAAATCAGGTGGCGGAACGGCTCGGAGGAGTCGCAGACGGTGGCGTTGTGAAGTGAGGGTTGCTTACACGGGTCCCTGAAAGTGGGGATGCTGAGTGATTGCAGAGCTCTTAGTTGCTTCGGATCAAGACTGTTCGAAGAAGGGGACGGCGATGTCGGTGGCAGTAATGGCCGTGTGACGGAGGGGGCGGAGGTCGGAGACGGAGTTGGAGGAACTTCAATGGGCGCCGCCGGAGTGGCGGTGGGCCTGGTCGTGGCGGCGGCTGCGGCGGCGGCGGAGATTAGGAGAAGAAGCGAGAAAATCGCTGCCGGCGGCGGAGGCGGATTCATCGTTGCTCAGAGAGACGTTGGGGCGAGTGAGCTGAAGCACAGCAGCTGAAGCTCGGAGTTTAATTTTAATGAGGGAAGTGGGCATGTGACAGTTGGCATGATTACTAAAATACCCTTGCTTTTGCAAACTTTAACATAAAATGCCCAACTAACAATTTTGGCTGCTGACGAAGAAATAATTAACACTTGGTACATCAAAATTAAGCTTTCGTCTCGAGATCAGATTCCAATGGTTTATTAAAATCTACAAGTAATTCCAATCATAGTCTAAAAACAAATCAAACTTTCCAACAATAGTAAGAGTAAGTTGTTTACGCATTCAGAAATTGGGATGATCATGAGAAGAGAAACACTAAACTTTGTCAAAACTTGAAACTATAATGAGTGAGGAAAAGTGGATTTTGAGGAAGGTGATGACTATCTGTATTCATATTGATATTGCTCACACCAATGATTTACATTGTACAAACAGAAGAACCAAAATATTCATACGTATTCAACTGAATCTGTATATTTTCATCTCAAACGATGCCAAAAGGAAACTGATAATCAATCCTATAAACAATCACGAAGAGCCTTTGACAAGCAATCAAAGATTGTCGGTGACGACTCAACAATCTATGGCAATGCAGCTTTGTGCAACGGTTGTACCGTCAACTTGGTTGACAAATGGGTTTATCTTCACCCAAACAAGTGAGAAAACTGAGGCCAACAGCACGGACCACAGAACAACAATGGTTGGAGTCCGGTTTTGGCGACCCATGAGACCTTTGAGGAATGGATAGAGATGGAAAATCACCCAAAAGGCAAAGAATACCTTGCCAAAAAGAGGTCCCCAGGCCTCATATCCACCGTTTAATGCATCAGAAAATCCTGCAACGACACCGACCATGTTGATGACAATGAGGGTTGTAGGAGGGATCAAAAGTGTTGTCCATTTCACCATGTAAAGCTCTCCAAACTCGGTGTCATCAGCTGCCTTTGCAGTAACTGTGAAGTTGGTGTCCACACCAGCTAACATCTTTAGGAACCCTTGGAAGACAGCAAAGAGATGGGCAGAAACGCCCCCTATGACCCAGAATTGCTCGTTACGCCATAGATCTTCAATGCTAACACCACTCCAACGCAGCTCGAGGACACTGGTGAGAATGATGGACATGAAGAGACCCAGAAAAAGGGTACTTGCTAGGTTTGAGAGCTGCATGGTGTTGAAGAGAACTTATTTTAAGAAGTGAAACTAAATAGACAAAGGAAATTGAACAAAAAGTGAGGCAAAATTATACACAAGGATTATAGGCTGTAGCTATGGTTCCGTTCCTTTTGGTCATTCATTATAGAAGGGGTATTCAGTCCCATAAATGCAAAAGCAACACAATCTATTTCAATATTTAACAAAAAGTAGGAACAGACATGGCAAGAAAATGCTTCTTAAAGTAAGTATAAATTTTGTTGGTTATATTTGAATATTTTAATGTAATTATTAAAAAGAAAGCCCGAGGGCAGATATATTTACCGTTGGTATGATAAATTTTCCTGTCAGGAGGCAGATTGCAGGCAATGTACAGTAAGCAACAAGAGGGAGGGAGGTGAATGGATAAACAATGGTGTTTATGTATGCCATCCTTTGGAGCCATTTGAGCCGCCCTCCTGCAAATCCATACCACAAAGGACAATGTCTACTGAAAAAAATCTCAATAGATCCAAGTGCCCATCGAAGAACTTGGTGCAGACGATCGGAAAGGTTAATTGGCGCTGATCCTTTGAATGCTGGCCTTGAGGGCATGCAGTAGATGGACCTCCATCCTCGGCAGTGCATCTTGAAACCCGTTAGGATATCCTCAGTGACTGAACCATATATCCAACCAATCTGGAAAGCAGAACCATAAGTTGAAAATGATTCTCGAGGGTTTACTTTATATCAAATGAGAAAAGGCTAAAAATAATACCTCTTTTCCCCAAGCAGTCTTCTCTTCATAACCACAACCAATGACATGAATTGCTTCTCTGATCAAAGTCGATGGATTTGCAGATTCTGCAACTCCTCCATTTTCCATTAGTGTAGACTCAATAAATACAGAAGATAAGCCAAAAGTTTTCTCAAAGCTCAATTGAGAAATCAGCATTGACCTCTCATACTCATCATAATCTGTAGAACAATGACAAAACTAAATTTAATGGCAATTCAGAGAATTATAGCCTTAAATTCCAGAAACCCAATTCCACTAAGATTAGACTTACTATCTATTTCCCTGAGGTTAAAGATCGCAGCATCGAGCTCTTCTCTTTTGGCATCTCGCTGAATCTCAGTTGGATCTTTAGAGGCCTTCTTGAAAGGACAGCAGCATGAACAGCAGCCACACCATGAGCAGGATGATGAGGACGTCTTAGATAAGCTAGGCATAGTAGGAGGTCCGTAGCCATAAAGTGCCTGTCTATTGAAGACACAACCTGTACCTACATAAACTGGTCCCTGGATGCCATCAAGTCCTTTCATGTTGACCTGAAACAAAAATGAAGAGACTCTCAATACTGATGAGCCCCAAGACAGACTTATGCAGGGATAAAGGTCGACTGGTATAGTATTATTATGTTTCCACCTCTATTTAGTTATAATTTAAACTCACATCAAAGAAAACTGTGTTGCGGTTAGCATATCGATCACTTCGATCAATGCCATCAAACCTCTGAGGAAACTGAACATAGCATACATCTCGACCTACTTGTGGGTCCATCAAGAAACACATTGCCTCCCGTATAGCTTGGCTATTGTTAACATAGTGATCACAGTCAAGGTTGAGAATGTAGGGAGCGTTTGTGAGAACTGCTGATACTCTAACCTGTTTAAGGACAAAAATTTAAGTACACAACTTTTATGTGCCTGAAACAAATAAAAATATGATAGATGAACGAATACCAGAGCATTTTCAGCACCAGCTTTTTTGTGATGTTGGTAACCGGGTCTCTTCTCTCTGGAAACATAGACTAGCCGAGGAATTTCATTACCCTCTATGTCATGGGCGCCAGTATTTCCAAGAAAAACCTGAAACAACCAATCCTCTGTGTTTGAACATTTTGATTCAATTTTTTAAGTGAAAGACACAGGTAAACGTGTGGATGGATTATTGAACAAAATGGACACAAAAAAAGAAGGAAACAGGCAAAAATTCCATCTAAGACATTAATATTCTTATGCACCAACAGTCTATGGTCTTGAATTATTTTGAAATGACGGTTTTTACGACCACTTGATGTTTCTTTCACAAGGGGAAATTTTATAACTGAAGAACTTAGAAGTTTTTCAACATAAGCAGAATATATAAGCAAAAAGGTACTTAATTGTTAATTCTACACCAACCAAATTTGTCCAAGGTTTGATACAATCTGAACTGAACTTTTTCTATTAAGGTACGGCATTCAGGAAACCTAACATTATATGAACAAGCTAATTTGGCATTCATTTGCTATTGTAGAATAGGAGTTGAACATTCTTCTCTGCTAGTAGAATAAGGCAATCAAATTAATAGTGTGTTAACCTGAATCATTCCAGGGTGGTCACGTGGATTATTTCCTGGCCAAGCTGTTCCATCTTGCATGGACCAGCCTTCATCTGGTGTTTTTTGAGCCTTGGCTACCAAAGCATTGACTCGTACTTTAAACTCTTCATAAGCTCTCTGCAATGAATAAGCAGACTAAGTGTTAGATAACTATTTCTGACCAATGACCTACCGCATGATGTATTGAGTGGAGTGTGAAGAGGAAGCTTGAAGTTCTTACTTTCATTGCTCTACGTTCCTTGACAAAAGAAGGTTGCACTTTATCTTTCAAATAGTCTATTTTCTGTGAAAAGTAAAACTCAGGAGCTCGGGGTTCAATGGAGAATCTCTTGCAGAATGGAACCCACTTCCTTGCAAAGTCGGCTGTTTCAACTAGAGATTCAAATGTGAGCATAGCTGCACCATCGTCAGACACATAGCAGGAGACTTTATCGACAGGATAGTCCACAGCTAGGATTGAAAGCACGGTATTGGCAGTGATTAGTGGAGGTTCTTTCAATGGATCTACGGTACTCACAAAAAAATCCACAGCAGCAAGCTGAGAAGGCTCTCCCTCTCTTTCATACCTGACATAGAAACAGAAAAACATGCGACTCAAACACAATCAATACCATATCAAGCTCATCAAATTGAAGCATCATGTACCCACCACTTTTTTTATTCCTAATTAGATAGTATTCCATATTTTATCTGTCATTATATCATTCTTCCAAGCCTACATGGTACCCAAATATCTTTACTGCAGTTCAGTCACCATTGTTTGTAAAGTGAAGAGAAAGAGGCTGAATGGACTAGTTTAGTGAAAACGAAAACACAATATGTTTTTATATTACCAGTTCACCTAATTTGTTAGAAACAAACTATTACAACTTTAAGTGAGGTAAAAATGGAAAATCTCCAAAACTTTCCCCTAGATCACCAAAAAAAGAAAAATATTATAAAAAAAAACTCCCTAATTACTTAACTAATACGTCAATAAGTTATGCAGTCTTGCTCATATACCTGGCCGATAATCTGTCGATGTAAGTGTCCCTGCAGACGGGATACCATTTAGGGAACTGATCCAACACCCAAGAGAAGGCAAACCAGATTTCACATATAATAGAAGTGAGCCATAGACCAAAAGCACTATCAACAGGATTTGTTATTCGATATTGAAAGAAAAGAGCTAGAATGATCAATCGCATGATTATCACTATTCTGTATGGTGTTAATCTGCTCGATGGAATTGGATAAACTGAAGAAAATGTGTGTTCAACTGCAGCCTGCTCTGAAATCCTGTAAGAACAGAAATCACATTTCCGTAAGTTGTAATGACTGAATTATCTTATCATTAGGAGAATGTAATTTTGAGCATTTTTCTCTGAATAAAACTTGTAACATTAGCTTATATTCTTCTCAGAAATAGGATGTCAAAAAATCTGAGTGTCATTAAAAAGTTTGCAGATATGAAGCCAGTTTAATAGAAAAGCACATCAGCACACAGAAACCGGCTTTTAGCTTCAAGTCGGCATGAAGAATCTGAGAGATAGGACCAATATTACCTTTTTTTTTCCTTTTTTTTTTTAATAACAAACACCATAACCTCCTTGTACTTACTGTTTCTCCTCCATTTGTTGTTGAGGTGGAATTTGAGCTTCTTGTTCAGTCTTCACGGAAGGCCTTTTCTTTTTGTTCTTCTTATCCTTCCAACTCTCTACTCTGTTCTTCCAAATTGGGTTCCCAGATTCATCATTTAATTCTTCATAAAAACAGGTAGAGCTTATTAAGAATAAGAACAATATTAAAGGCTCCAAACGCGATTTATAAAATGTATATCAATTACCACTATCCACTGTTGACACACTACTGACATGTCTAGCATGAACTCCGGCATCCTAAGGAAAAACAGAAATGAGATATAAGTTCGTGAGGAACCTAAAATATTGGAAATTAAATAGTGAATACTTGTAACTCGGTCACAACTCGCAAGTAAATGAAACTGGCGAAATAAAATTTACCTGAGAATGACTGAGATGAGATGCTATTGTGTTCCGATCTCCTGACATCTTCGTATCAGCATCCATCAGTAAGTTCTCTAAAAATTTCAGAACGTGCAAACAAATTCAGAACTACTAAAAAGACAAGAACCACAGATATAATGAGACAAAAGAATGCGAACATAATCCCCGTAGATACTTCAAATTTCCTAACATATTCATAAGTAATTAAGTATTAGCAAACCGAACAGGGATCAAACTAATAGTTAATATAAATCCCGACATGAAACTATCTAAGAATTGGTTGAGCGTGAGCAATTGCAGAATTCGGATTACGATTTTCATGACTTTTTTTCAATTCAGTCTACCAATGACCGTTATGACTTCTGATACCATACCATATGATCAATCACAAATATACTCAAACTGAAATAGAAATTCCACTCAATGAAACTCAAGTTCCTGAACAGCAAAACCATAAAACTCTTGGAAAGCAACTAGGATAGTTGAGCGATCAGAATATACCGTCAAATGGAGCCCCGCACCGCAAGCAAGCTTTTCGGCCTTCCTTAATATCATACTGGACGCAGACTTTGCAAATATGAAAATGGCACTCATGGCAAGCAACGAAAACCTCTCCATTGGCATCAACTCCGACTTGCTCACCACAGTTGTGGCAAATCGGGACATCAGACACCATCATTTTTGTTCTCACTCGCAATTCTGCAAACCCCAAATGAAAGATAATCGCCGCAGCCCCAGAATCTAGGTTTTCTGGGTGATTTTATATGAAAAAGGAACAACCCAGATGAGTGGTATAGGTCTGTGAGAGAGGGCGATGAAAACATTTTAGAAATGCGGAAGAATGGAGGGTAGTAGTTGAAAAGACGAGAGGTTGGGAAGTTGGTTTCACCCATCTGCAGAGAGATAGAGAGAGGAAGAGGAGATGAGAAGCAAAGCCTGAGCTGCAGCGCTGTGCTGTGTACAGAGAGATTTGAATTCTTGCGGGAAGTGTAAGCAAAGATTTAGTTGGGCAGAGTACGTCTTTGAGCTACTAACAGACGATCGTGCACCAACCCCATCCACAAACACAAGCAACCAAGCCTCAGAAACTGCGACGCCCCCCTATAAATGGTACAGAAATCTTCAAATTCAAGTGCACTTCTTTCTTACTACAGTGTGAATCTTCTTCGTTCAAACTAAATCCTTGAAATGGTCGCTGGGAAAGGAAGAAAACGGTGGAGGGAAAAAATCGAAAATTGGATACTGTTGGTCGATCAACTAGTTTACTTCTTCTGTTCGATTTGATTGGAATTAATTAGTACAAACAAGGCAACGTACAAAATTATCCTGATTTAACGTAATATTAGAGAATAATCTGTAGAGTGTGTTGAGTCAGATCATTTCCCGCGTTTTTAGAATTGCTGATTCAATTTTTTTGGGTATCACAGGCTCAGAAATGCTGCATCGAAATGAGAAGCTTTTTTCTTTTTTAAATAATAAAATTTAGTGCTGGTCCTAAGGAGGTATCTCTCATTTATCAAGTTTACAAAATAAAGATAAAGAGAGAGAAAAAATAAGAAAGAAAATAGAATAAATAGTTAGTCAAATTTATTAATGGCGGTAAGTTTACCTCATCGTTTCCTATCTCTTTCTTTTCTCAAGGATCAACAAGAATATTTTGATTTTAGGTAGATAAGTAATTGTCTATAGCCAAAACTAGAAAACACTTTTTTAACTTGAGAAAAGTATATTTAGCTAAGGATTAAACAAACTTCCATCAGAAAGGAAACAAACACCACTTGAACAATGTGTTTGGGAGTAGTTTTGGCAGGCCAAAAATCACTTTAAACTGATTTTTAAAGTATCATTTGGATCATGATTTTTGAAGAAACAATTATATTGAAACCTCTTCTTTTCATATTCATTTATTCTACCATTACTCCAAAACACACTCTAAATCTCATGATAGACTTTGTGTAATTTGTTATAAAGAGAACATGATACAGAATAAATACTGCAGTGTTCGAACTCGTATAAAGTAATTTTTGCTTCATCAAGATGTTCAATGCAGATCCCTGAAAATATGAGGATGCACTATTAGGTGGGTGGTAACCCCTGCAAAATCTCTCTTGATCCCAAAATTGTGACCGTAAGGATCTAGAATCAGATTCTTCAAAATATGGGATCAGCTGCATGGTTCATTCAGATTTCTACAGGTTTCTCCCCAAGCTTCATGATCAGGCAAGCCGACCCGTGAGTCTCTAGGCAACAGTATATACCTTCACTACTTTACTGGTATCACAAACGATTAGGTTTTCTGTTTCAGATGGAGTGGTACATAGCCAATTCACCTGCAGAAAATTGAATCACCAAATTAGGAAATAATTGATGAAAACACAAGTAACAGTATGGATCGTGAATGTGAAAATGTCGATAGAACCCAACCTTTTTGCTCAGATTGATGTTCAAATGGAGAAGACTGTTGTTTCTGCCTGCATCCCCAGCATCAGGAACTCCAGAACAATTCCAAAGCTTTATGCATTTATCATTCCCACCAGATACTATGAACTTCCCTTTCTCCCCAAATTGAGAAAATGTCCTGAAATTTTCCATTTGGTAAGGGAGATTCGTCACCTTGCATAAGAAGAGAAAGAAATTACTTACACACAGGACACAGCAGCAGAATGTCCACCAACAGTGTAATCCAAATGTAAATTCTTTCTTCCAGTTTCTTCTTGGTTATCCGTATCACAAGCTGCAGTAACTCCCTTAGACTTGGGTCTTGTTTGTAATCTTTTACCCTTTGTAGAAACCTTTGATTTCTCAGATTCAATATCAATCATGTCCACGACACCGTCGCCCCTTGCCACGACACATATCTGACCCAATTTGTCCAGCATATTAACTTCAGGAACCGCTATTGCATGAATAAATGCTGGATTAAAACATTGTCCAGAGTTACTGGAAGGGTTGTTGTCCGGGCTACCTGTTGAAGGATGAAAATGACAAAACAGTTAAGTGTTTTTATACGTGTGTTACTTACATTAAACAGATACTGGCATAATCGTAACCATTCTTTCTTTTCTAAAATTATCCATGCACGACCATGTCAATGACATTGAAACACATAATCTGTAACAAATCAAATTATATTTATATTGCCACCACTTATGAACATTGGAAAATGGAATATGATGCAGTTATTAAGGCATGTAATAGTAATTTTTTTTCTTTTCAAAATTGTGTGCTATTATTACCACGTCTTGTAGACATCGTTGCATGATTCACGATACAGGCAAATGGAAATTAAGTTTTCAAGAATATATATTGGGTGAGCTAGGGCAAACAAAATGGAAAGCATGAAATAACACATGAACAGATGGGCTGCATGTGTACCAACCAAAATCAAGTACTTTGATGGGGCGCCCTCTGGAGAAGTCCCAAATAATGAGCTTTGAATCAAGACCTCCCGTAATAACTGTGAAGTAACAGAATTGTGAAATAGCAGTCAGATAGTAAAGATGAGGCTTCCCATTGTCTCAATATGGGACAACTTAGAAAAAAGAATACGATGACTGTGATAGTGTGTAGTGTAGCATCAAAAATAGCAACTAGCAAAGAAATCGATGACGTATGTGACTACCAAACCATGGAAATGTTCAATTCAAAAGAAAAACAAAATCTAAGAACTGAATGTTTTTTATACTCTAATTCTGAACAAAGTGGGCTAAACACTTTAAAGTACATCCGAACTTGCGACAACTTACTAACAGTTATAACTTATCGTTTAATTCTAAGTCTGGTAGGAATTAGGATAGTCAGCAAAAGAATAACATCTATCAATCCTCAAACTATAGAATTTGAACTCTAATTGTGTCCAATGAGTACCCACTTCAATAATGTCTCAGGTTATCCAGGATTCCAGGGGTCGTAAATACATTGGCATGGGGAACGCCCACAATAAACCTAACTTTCGGGCCTACGGTACCATAAATTTGTACACTAGGTTCTCTCTGTTAAGCATTTCTCTATCGCATTCCCAGAAAACTCTGAAATATCAGTATGCAGGATCCTAAATCCGTCTTCAAATATGATGCACAAGCTGCAACACAAGACAAAAATATGGTTTCCATCTTTCCATCCATGTGTTCATGGAAGTTGAAATACATCCTTCATGTGGAAGAATAAAGAATCTTCTCTTGACCTCAAAGAATCACTCCAAAATCCAGATTGATCATTTTATGAAGCTGTGTCTCACAATGATCAATGAAACATATCAACAAGCAGAGTATATCTCCATCAAGATCGAGACTCAAGCTTAAGTATTATAAGAGTACACCTTTGAAAGTTTGGATCTTTTCATTTCCTTTTTTTCCTTTTTTTATAAGTGCAATGAAGCTGCCCTCATGATAAATGAGCTCTCTTTGAACTTCTCAGAATCCAGAATAAACACTAAGGTCAGGAATAACTCATAATTTGATATGCTTAGCTACTTCTAAACAGTTCACTGGCATACACTAATCAATAAAATAAATGATCCTGTTCACTGTAGAAATCAGAAACTATATATTGCAATGTAAGCTATCAGATTCAAGAGCTTATAATGCAGACTGGACCACCGATTGTCTCAAGTGAACAATCACCGAAGAAAAAGGTGGAGAAAAAAGTTAACATGTTCCAAGTAAATACCTTCCCATGGTCTCCAAGGAAGGAACTGAACACTGCTACAGATCTAAATATATGGTTCAGGATGCAAAGATGGGATCCATGTAACCTGATTAAAGAACTGTAGTGTACATGGGAAAAAATGGAATACAGAGGGCCGCAACCTGATGTATTAAAAAGTGCTTCAAGTTTCAAGAAAGGATACACTCGAATGGCCAGATCTTAATGTTTTATATAAGCATTGCTGGTGAATGTCAATGATCTGCCATAAAGAATATAATCAGCATTTAAACTGTCAATTTGGGCATAGCAACATTATAAACCATTGCTTCTGCATTTTTATTACTAAAAAGGGCTGGGATGTGTGCATGCTTGCATAAAAGACTGAGATAGGGCATTACAATTCTTAACATACTATAGATCTCACTGGCAATCAAACAGATGGAGGCAACACTAAGGTAAAAGGATGCTGTAGACACTTGATGCCAGCATTTTTAGGTCCTCACTAGAAATTATACTCAAATAAAAAAAAGATCATAATCTAATTACCAGAAATCATACAACTATTAATCTAATCAAACTGAACTAAAATCAGAAAACAGAACAATCGTGCATGCTCATTTGAGTTTGAATCCCAAGAAAAAAAAAATTCAGTAAGCTAAAGATGCTGACCTTAACATCACCACCATCATCGGCAGCAGCGAGAAAAGAAGATTTTGGGCTGCAAGAAACCTGCATGGGAAGGAGAAGTTTTGACTAATGGCTTCCGACCAATAATAATTGATTTTTTATTAAAAAAGAAAAAGAAAAAAACTATTAGATTATATAGGATGTCTCCACGCCTTAAAACAAAGAAAATAGCATCATTACTAAATTAAAGTTCAAAATACATCTTCAAAGTGATTAGAACTGATCCAACTAGAGCAAGATAAATGTATAAACCATATACTGATTAGCTCTACCTGATTGATCTCCTCTTTGTTGTAACTATAACTCCCCAATGGTTTCGATGATGTGGCCTCCAAAAGTAAAAAGAATAAAAGTCATGGCATAGCAAGCATCAACAAATGAAAGTTCAAAAGACATCTTCAATCTCATTAATATTAATACACTTCTTATAGGAAAGGCACAAGACATGACTAAATAGACATCAAATATTGTGATATTCGGAAAAAGTTGACCACGAGTTGCATTAGTTCAGTACGTTCTTTCCTATAAAATAAAAGTATATAGTTTTTAACGATATGAAACTTCATCACCTGATGGACATCAAATGACTTAATTTCCTTCACGGAGGAGATGTAAATAACATCTTCATTCCCTGAATAAGCCACAAAAAAACAAAACTAAACAAAAAGGAAAAAATGCAGAATGCATCAGCAGAAATTGTAACAACAAAAAAGAATGTACAGTGTACACTTGAGATTTTAGTTTCTATCTTGAGAATATAATTATTTTAGCTAGCGGCTCGTTAAGGATGCCACATCGAAAAGATCAAGAGACCTATAAATACATGGACTACTCCTCAGTCCTCTCATTGCTAATTGTTAATTAGTTTTGAGATGGAATCCTACAAATATTAAGGTGTATCATTAATGTTTCGTTCATCACTGAGTTAAATAAAAGAGTGACTAAGAGAGAAATGGACCTGGCTTGAAACATATGGATGAAATAGGTTCTGTTCCAACTTCCATAATGGATACGACATCTTTGCATCTCATGTCAAACCAGCAAACACAACCATCCTACATCCTCCAGAAAAACGTAGAGGGAAGAAGTTAATTAAGAAGTGGTAACGTCCAATAAAGAAAAGCTAAATACAATTAACTAATGTAGTCCAGTCCAGTTATTTCTGACATACCCGATGTCATATGAATGCAAAATCCTTCTAAAACATCTATGTTGGCAATTGTTTCTAACATCAGTTATAGAACGACAATTCTCAGTTTTAATATACTTTCACGGTAAATTTGAAGCTCAAATCGAGCATGGAAACTGTACACTCAGAGGCGCAAATGAGATGTCATTACAGGCTCAAGGAAGATTGTGCAACCTACTAAAATTCAATACCGTTTAATAGCTTACTCGAAGAAAATTGTTAAAACTGGTAGAGCTGAACATTAGCAATGAGGACATTGGAAGTTAATTGTTCACTGAATTCAAGGAAAGAGGACGTAAAGGCCAAAAGTACAGTCTACTACTTAACCGTTGCACTTTCTCAGCAAGCAAAATAACTTTAGAGGTGGAGAAAATGGAAGTTGGAGATATAACCTCGCCTGAAGTAGCGACAAGGCCAGGACGGTCATGCGAGGCGATGCAGCACGTTGCAGTGGCTTTGTGACCCCTCAGTCGTCTCGGCGGTGCCTCCGACATCTTCCCCTCTCTGCAGTCTGCCCTGCCTTCAGTTCTCTCTGCGTTTCCGGCGACTTGGTCTGCTGCGGCCTACGAGTCGCCGATGATCGTAAAATTGGGTCTTCTTCGATCAGCTGGGTTAGCTTTGGGCTACTTGAGTTTCGGCCCAAAGCTTATTTTCTCCTGACCAAATTTGTGTTTTCAAAATTTTTAAATAAAATAAAAGGTTTCTTTTTTTAACCTAAAATTTTAGAGAACAAAAACCCACAAATAATTTTGAACTGAATTTTTATTCTCTTTTTTTTAATAATGTTTAGAGTTCTTGATAATTTGTAAATCTTTTGTTTGATTAGACTTTCTATTATTTTGTTTTTTAGTTTTCATCTTTATATGTTGCAAATTATGATTTTTACATCATTAATAATTTGAGGCATGTACCATTTTTTTTTAGAGAGCTAGACATATTCACGTACATATTATTTAAGGTCAATTTGAACTTAGCTCAACAATAATTAATGCAAGTCTCTGACTAAAAAGTCATAATTTGAGTGTTCACTTCCACTAGTTGTATTAAAATTAAAAAAGAGTACTTTTATGAGTAGTTATCTTCCCACTAACAGCATTAAACTTTTATAGCATCCTTTTTATATTTCTCTCTTATTTATTAAATACTTAATGGTGGTTCTCTTATTTATTAAATACTTAATGGTGGTAAGCAAAAATGGTACTTACCAAAAACTCGTATATATTATGTATGGACACATTTTAGATTGGCTAGATACTTTTCATTTTCCAATATATATATGGTGCGCTCCCGATGTTTTGCATTTTTTTTTCGAAAATGGGTGAAAAAGTTGCTAATATGAAAGAATTATTATAACACCATTTCTGACAAAAACCCCTGATCGATCAAATCTACAAAGAATTATGAAAACCCAGAAGAAATTAAAGGAGAGGAGACGAAGATGAAGCATAAAGTTTCCAACTTTACAAACATTATCCTCCAAAATACAGAGTGGATCGAATGCCGAGAACAAAATCGTCATCTACCTTAGAAACTAAACGAATGTATACACTTCCTAATGTTCAATCATCTGACAGTGCAGGCCACTGCATAAGCCCACGATCTGATGTGCTCTTTCATCGCCATACTGTCTTCAAACGGAGGCATCTTCTTCTTCTTGTAAACTTCACCCCTAATTCTCTGTTCTTCAAACATCCAACATTCAGAAATCTCCTTTACGACAAAATTCAGATCTATTTCTCCAAGGATTTTTCTCCTCTGCCTCAGACACGAACACGATGATCTCCTTATTCTGCTTCTTGATCTCCTCTTCTCTTCTTTCGTACTAATTTCCACCTCTGTTTTCGTTTCACACCCAAACCCAAACCCACCATCTTGATCTTCCAGTACTGCATTGTTATTCTCGCGCATGGGTGTCGCGATTTCTTCTCCTTCGACGTCGTTTAGGGTGGGATTTTCGAGCTCTTGGATGGCCGGCGCCGTCGTTCCGAAGAACCAGAGAGAATCCAAATTCTCTATTACCTTACACCCGTTCATCCTACCCGACGCCCATAAATCCCAATGAAGCTTCAAACTATTAATAAACCAAGTTTTAGTGGGTGACAGCAAATTACTAAACTACCATTCCATCACTGCCACGACAACAGCCTCTTTCTTTGAGGGTATTACAGTAAATTTGAACATTTGGGATTGGGCTTGGAGTTCTGTTCTGTTGTGCTGTAAAACCGTGGACTTTTTGACCGACCGTTCACAACTCCGTTAAAGTGAACGGAAAGTCACTCTAACGGTCGAAATTAGACGTGCAAAACGACAATAATTGCATTTTTTTCGGGACGTGGGGCCGACTTTCAGAATGCCAACCAGAGCCAAACCAGAGCGTGGTTTTGTGGGAGTTGAATTGAAACGATCAATCACTAATTAATTAATTTATTATTATTATTATTATTGTTCTTTTTCTTTTTCTTTTTACGAAAACGAACCAATAAGAAAAGAATGAAAGTGAAAAAGCATAATTTTTTTTATTTAAATAATCAGCCTGAACTTTATACCAAAGAATCCATATTTAATTTGAAATCTCTAGCTTTTGAACTATAACGGTATGCATGGTTCACATGTTATATGTGTTTGGTAAATCGCTGATTCAAATATAACTCGCGTGGACAGAACATTTATTACCATATCTATGGTCAATATTCAATTTATCCACTCTCGTATTTTTTTACTTAAAAAATGTATAAATGTTTGGTAAATTCATTAGGCTTTAAAAATTCAATATCCTACTTAAACAAATACGACATTACTCTCTTCTTTTAAGCAAACTTTTTATGATTTGATATGATTATATATGCACCTGAGATATATTTTATATATAGAAAAAATTCAAACTAAGTATTATTAATATTTAAACTATAATGGTGATTTAGGATAAACTAGTATGTATGAAGAATTATTTACATATTTAGTTGAGTTGTTTTACTTAATTAGGCAATTAAGTAGTTATTTCACCATTAACTTTTTGATAATTGAACTTTATTTTGATTTGTGTTACGTGTATATATAAGTATATTCTTCTTTTTTAAGTCGTATATATAAGTATATTCTCGATCTAGAGATGTGAATATATATCAATATGGTTTTCTCTCCGAGTTATACTTGTTAAGTGTTTTTAGCCTATTAAAAACACTTATAATTTTTTTTTAAAAATATTTAGTTAGATAATCAAAAATAATTTTGAAAATTTTAAAAATACTAAAAAAAAAGTAGTTAAAGTGACTTTTAGAAAATAATTCAATTCATGCTTTTTTTATCCTATAATCACACAGTTTTTTTCTCTCTCTCTCACTGAAGAAGAAAATTTTATAATCACACCGTTAAACCATAAACGTCTAGTTTTATCATCATAATATATACATTACAACATTTGGGATTTGCAAAGTAGAGTACAAATGGAAATAAACAAATAGGGAAAAGCAATAAAAAGAATAACATTTAAAAAAATTAATTAGTTTAAATGTCGAGGACCAAAAAAAAAAAGATTTAAAAAAGTTTTATTCAAATCATGAATTTCAAACTCTATGGTAATCTTCGGTTGACCCATAGTAGTCAAAGTAAATTCTAAAGAATTTTAAAGGAAATAAGTACCCACTATGAGTAGATACCTAATCAAAATTTAATATTCTAAATTTTTTTGATAATCAAATGTAGTAAGTCAGACTCACGTGATTAAGGAGAAGAAGGGAAAAAAATTACTCTACGAATGATCTCTTGTTTTAAAATATTAACATTTTATAAACTTCTTTACAACTAAAGTTAATTACATGGTACACTAATGTCTATTAAAGTAATTAAAATTATAACCTTAATTTTAAATATATATATTTGACCGAATCAATATTAAATATTTAAAATATATAATAATCACCACTTACAACAATTTTTAAGTTCAATAAAGAAATATATAACTAATGTCGATAAGGGGGAGTTGTTTATAAGTTCAATATATTAAGATCTTGTCTAAAATAAAGCCAAGTTGGTGAAAGATTTTTTAGAATATTTAAAGCTACCAACACATATATTTTATGTAGAAATAAAATAATTAGTATTAGAAATAAATTAATCCTTGGCCTCTACAATGAAGAAGATGGTTTTTTATTAATTTAATGGGGGCAACATGCATTATGCATATGGATAGCGTTTTATCACAAAATAACGAATCAAACAAACAAAATTACGTAATACTCCCAAAAATTAAAAAATGAAATAATACTAAAAAAATGAAATAAACTAACATTCATTGATGTCACCCCTTTACTTTATTTCAATTTTTTTTCCTTTTAATTGTTGGAGTTCAAAAATATTCCTCCATGAGAGGAAGCTTTAGATTAAGGAATTTGAATAGGGTTATGCAACTAATTCTCTGATGTGGCAAACTTATCCCCTTTCTTTTACTCTTTCAAACCTCATGAAGGGTAAAATTGAGAGGGCAAAATTGTCCTTGCCGGCAACTCCTTAAGATTTTGGAGGCCATGGCTATGACTAAGAAAATTGCTAACATTTTTGTAACTTACTCAATTCACTTTGAAATCGATATTTTATAAGTTGTTAGGTTGCTGCAACATGAATAAATATTAGAAAAGAAACCAACAAAAATGGCTCATTCAATAATAACGAGAGCGTCAAATTTATCAAAAACGAACATAACTCAACGATAATCAACATGTATTCTAACCAAAAGGTTGCAAAGTATAGCCTAAGAAATAACACATATCCTCATTCATCCATAATGGAACCAAGAAAAATTGAAATAGAGTATACCACATACAACTAAAATTTAACATTCATGAAAAGAGAAAAAAAAAAATTACAACGTGATTACATTCTTATTATTATTAAAAATACCTTATAATAATATATCTAATCAAAATATAAAATTATAAATAATCAGCTTTTTCTTTATAAGATTTGCATTTTTTGCTCCCAATATATAATATTTAATATGGACGTCAAATTATATATGTTATAGTATTATCTATATAATATTCTACTCGTACAAACGCTAGTATATACATAACATCACATACAAAAGTTTTATTGTACTATAACTCAAACAATTTAAAAGGCTCGGTTTCTAAACGTTCTTCAAATCTAAGACAAAATGTTGAAACTAACTTGTTTATATTTTTAAATTTGAGTAAAGAACTCCAATATAAAGATATTTTTAAGAAAGTGAAAAATATATCAAATAAGTTAGGAAGAAACCAGCACAATTTTTTTTAAAAAAATAATAATAATAAATTAGAACAAGTATATTAATATTCTCTATAGTCATATTTCAATGATGAGGGTATAAATTAAAATAGACGATTTCCAAGTAAATTCATATTCATTAAATATCAATAATTGTCCAAATTTCGTGATCTATTCTCAAACTTATTCCATTCCAAAGAGCATTCTAAACACTATAGCTTGAAGAGGATTCCAAATTGAATTTCCACACTTTTTAGCAAGAGATTTTGAATGGTTAAGATTACCAATCACGTTGACTAGACAAGAAAAATATTAAAAGTATATAAACGAAAACAACTATCTTAGAGTTTTTGAGTGAAATCATTTTAGCACCAAAAAGCATCCTCAAATCGTATCGGATTCAATTAATATGATCTAAATGGTCGCTCCCTCAATTCTGTCCTAAAAGAAATTGCACTTTCCAATATACTTTCTGAATATATGTATATATTGACTTTCAATTTAAAAATGTGAGAGATTAGATCAATCAAACTTAAATTAAAAGAAAAACTATATTACAAAAGAAGTAGAAGAAGATGAATGAATTGAGTGATTATCAGTGTCATCTAACAGTAGAAGCAACAGTATGAGCCCACCATTTGAGATTGTCTTTCATATCAATTTCATTCCCCAAAGCAGGAAAGCTCCACTCCATCAATGGCGGCTTCTTCAATTCATTCTCTTTCTCCATCGCCTCCCAAGCTTCAGAAAGATAAGGCCTCGAAATTTCCCCCTCTTCTCCTTCTTCTTCTTCTTCATGTTCCTTTTTCTTCAACCTGTTCAAACCAGGAATAATCGACGCCAAGCTCGAATCTTTATCTTCCTCCGAGAAAACAAATCCCAAATCCATGAACCCTTTTAGCTCCTCAAATTCCAGCTCCGAAAGGCTCTTACTTTCCGGCCACCGTCTTCTTCTCCCTCTCCCTCTTCCCTTGTTTCTCTTTCTCGGCTCTGTTTCAAGTTCCGGCCGAATTTCCTTCCGGTTGTTCTCCGGCGACTCAGTTCTGGCGATGTCTTTGCTGGAGAAAATCGTCTGAAGCTTTGGAGAGAAGAGGATCGAATCGGGTGAATTGGAATTGGACATAAAGCTCAATTTGGAGCTCAGATCTTCGCTTATGGACCTCGTGTGAATCCGTGGCAAAACTTCCGGCGACGGCGGCGGCGAGTTTTTTAATGGCTTTTCTTGATTTTCACGTTCTGGGTTTGACGGCAGGAGGGGTTGGTTGAAGATTCCACGCTCGAACCAGAGGGAATCGAAGAGATTGAGAATTTGCTCAACGTCCATCAATGGCGGCCCGAAAACAGAGACTTGTTTGTAATTGGTTAATTTGCTTCTCGCTTTGATTTATATATATCAAGACATTATTTCGTCACCAAACTACCCTTGAAATGTTCAAATTTTTACAATTAAAAATGGGGTTTGTTCTTTCGTTTGATTTAGGTCCACGAGTCCATGAGAGGGTTAGTTCTGTCTTTTGTCTATTTTTCTTGTGGTATTTTCTTATATATTTTCGAGTAACATTGCTTTGCCTTTTCCAGGAAAGTACTGGTAAAATGGGTGGCCGACACGTGTGGAGCTACTTGATGTACCCACTACCCACAAATAAGAAATGATGCCCACGTGCGATTTTATGTCTCAATTTTGAGAAATATAACCTAATTTTATAAAATATAGTAGATTGAAAACGAGATAAATATTAAATTTAGCGAACGGATTAAAATACCTATCTCAAATTAAAATGGTGTGAATTTAAATTCTCATTTTCACACGTTATATTAAAAGAAGTGATAAATATATAAAATGTTAAATAATATAAAATATACATGAACTATTTCTAAAAAAATATATATATACATGAACTAAATATAGGATGGGTCCGAGATTGCACCTTTAGTTAGTCTTAGCACATTTTCAATAACTTTCTCTATTAAAATCAAAATGAAATTTAAACTTAACCAAACCAATGGATGTAACTTAGATGTTTAGAGTTTGTGAGGAAAAAAAATTATAAAAAGTACAAGTGGGTGTTATATTTCATTAAAGTTCTCTCCTCGATCTCAAAACAAATGTATAATAAATAATAATTAGGGCTTGAAAATGTTAAAAGAATCAGAGTAACTCACTTTTTACCCATCATTTAGAAGGAAGATGATTATACTATATTATGAACAAATTAGTCTCAGTAACATCATGAATAAACAAAATAATTATTTTTAGACAATTAAAAAATTTTAGAAGTTAGAATGAAAATTTTAAATAATAAAAAATGTAATTGAAACTTAAGGGTATTTTACACAATTTAGTCAATATAAACCGATAACTAATAAAAAGATACCTAACTTTTTTTTAATACAACATGTGGGGTGGGGATCGAACTCACAATCTTGATTGAAGATATATGTCAATTAACGTTGAATTATATTTGCTTTGACAAATATACCTAACTTAAAAAGTATAATAATTCTGTCTAAATTATATGAATAGTAAAGGTGAAGAAAGAATTTTAGTCATAAAAAAATATATCTTTTGCTATTTTATTCAAACTATTCTACTTATTTAACTAAAATGTAATACTATTTGATAGTATTTTCTACGGAATAATTTTTATAATTTTATACAATATCGTGGGAACACTCACGAACTCATATATCCTTGGTGATCATTGGTTCCACTTTGACGTTGAAAGTGTTTGGTTTTAATTATCCATTGTAATTAGTTAACTTTGCCGACACTCAACRATTTGAAACCAATCTCATTTTATCACGAAATTACTATTACAATTTTGTCACACAAAAAAAAAGAAAAGAAAAAAGAAAAAAAAGACATTCTAATTTCCTAAGTTTGCGTGCATGGTTGACCGGCAACATTATTTGAAATTGAATTATCCTAAGAAAAGGCAATTGAAAAGTTTTTTTTAATAGAAAATATATATTTTTCTCTCGTACCGATCATAAAAAAATTAATGGGGTTAGTAGAAAGCACTTATCAATGTTGTATTTTGAACTTTATAATCTCTTGATTATATATAAGATCAACTTATTGATTGGATAATGTTTATCATTTTATTTTATTTTACGATATATTTTTAAAAATGGCTTAATATTGCTTCAAAATTACTCCAAAACCAAGCCCAACACCCACCATAAAAATTAATGATGGTGCGTGTGTGGTGGGTATATAACACCAATGCATCTTGTAATTATAATGATATTGAATGATTGAACAAGTGATTAGATGCAGTAACTAAATTTGTCCTTAAAAATCCTTTATTTTTACTCTAACATAACCCAACAACCATAATTAATCATAATGTCGGATTGATGAACATCACTTATGCTCCTATGATGTTGGAGAAATTAAGGCCTTAGACTAAGCTAAGATGGGCATGTCCTTGTTAACTCATTTCCCTTGTCCTTGATTAATGATTTTGTCTAAATATTTTGACATTTTACTCAAATATTTTTGTAATTTATTCAAAGCAAGAATGAGAGATACGTGATTATCACTAATTAACTTAAAAGCTTAAGCTTTTAGTTCTAACAAATTTAATCTTTTTATGAATACTTTCACTTCCTCACTTGTGGGTTTAGCAATTAGCATAAGATCCAACAAGTGATTATCAATATGAAATATAGAGACAATAATATTAATAAGGGTTCAAAAAACAAGACCTTCTACTCTAATACCATGTTAATTAAATAATAAATCAACCCAACTGTTAACTGATGAGTTAAAGGTCATGAATTCAAATCTCTACCTAAATTTCACCATGTTGTACTAAAAAGAAACTGATAAATTATGGTAAATTTAATGTTTTTATTTGGATTGTCATATTAGACAAAAAAAAARTGTTATCGTACATACAAATATAGTTTGAAATTGAGAAGGTATTAGATGTATAAGATCATTTATTAGTTTTTATCCCTCTTTAAAATTTCCTGGGTTTCATTGAAAAAATCCCAAGTTTTCTAACCATAAATTATGGTAAATTTAATGTTTTTATTTGGATTGTCATATTAGGAAAAAAAATGTTATCATACATACAAATATAGTTTGAAATTGAGAAGATATTAGATGTATAAGATCATTTATTAGTTTTTATCCTAATCCTTTCATTTTTCTTGTTAAATAAATCCAAGCTTAAAATTTCTAACAATGAGATTTCAAGAAAACTTGGGATTTTTTCAATGAAACCAAGGAAATTTTAAAGAGGGATAAAAAAGCGTGTTGGATTGCATGAACCTGTAATTTTGAAAAAAAACCGTGGCTGATCATTAAAGTTTAATAATAATTTTTGTTGAAATTTAAATATTAGAAGTCAAAGGCGAAGTTTGACCATATACGGTCAACCAATCAACGTAAAAATTATTATAATAACAAAAACTGAGGGGGATATTATTGTAAATCCGCGCTTTCTTGAAGAATATTCGGATACTCGTTTTAGAATAAACTCGGAGATTCCAAGAAGTCAACTTGACGTGTCTGCAAACGGAAAATGCGCAGCCGCAGTCTGTTAAAAAAAAAGAAAAAAGAAAAAAAGCATTTTTTGAAAGAAATTATAAAATATAAAATTCATAAAAGATATCTAAATTCATGAATAATCATTTTACAATAAGATCAAAATTTTCATTGTCAGTACTATATCACATTAATCATTTCTTGTTGATATATTTTTTTATATCCGTAAATCGGTTGTCTGCGACACTACCATCGAAATATATAGAAATATGGATAAAAGTTACATATGGACAGAAATGTAATACCCTACTTTAAGATTTAAATCTAATTTTCTTTTCTTTTGTATTAAAAAAAATCTAATTTCTTTTACTTTTTATAAATATTTACTTATTTTATACTATTAATTATTAATAATAATAAAAAATCAACGTAACCATACATTAAAAAATATCCCATGAATTAAATTTTTCCGACCCATGAACTTAAATTTTTGGGTTAAATAATAGTTTATTAAATTTAAATCTAATTTTTTACTTTTTATAAATAATTTAAATCTAATATAGCTCAAATGGCTAAGACACCTATCTCTGACCAGAAAGTCATGAGTTCGAACCCCCACCTCCATGTACTCAAAAAAAAAAATTATTAACAATAAAAAAACATGAAGGTTTAGATATGTAAATATGGTTACATATCCTATATATATGAATTAAAATTTTCTAAGTTAATTGAAATTTGAATGAACATTGAAAGAAAAAATCAATATATTTATTAAATTATAAGGATTAAGATGAAAAATTACAAAATATAGTGACTAGGACTAGAAAGATAAATAAAATAAAGGGAGCACGTGTGTGACAGAAACCCACGGCCACATCACTTGTTTAATTGGGTTATATGCCAACTAAATTCCTCTTTGGGTTTGTCGGACGATTTTCCAGTTTTGATGATGTGATTAGGGTATGGTTTATCCAACACTTAGTTAAAATTACGTCATTGCATACATGTTTTGATTAAGTTTGACTTCTATATAAAAGGTAATAGTAACATTTAGATATATATTAACTAATTGCTTATACACAAAGTTTAGTTTATAATTAGGTTAAAATATAGTTTTCATTCTTTATGGTTGAATTTACCCACATTGTTTGTGAAAAGATAACTTCAATAAATAGAACTAGAAAGACTGGTCTAAAAAATATCACTTTATTTTTCCAACATTAAATCAAGTGGGAAAATTAGAGAGTGTCGTACGAATGAGAGATTATAAACTCTCTATAGTTAAGCGATATGCTAAGGCACTTTGTTTCAAATCTATCGAATTTAACCATTTTTTTTCTATTTATTTTTTCTTTGGAAATTGAATTTTTTTTTTTATTAAAGTCTTGATAAGTTTGAACTTCATTGTTAAACTCATAAATTTGTCGTTTGGTTAAGATTATAAGATTAGATGTACTGTGTGGTTTGTTATGCATATTCTTTTAACCCTAAAATTTATTTTTTAACTAACATAAAAAAATTATTAGAAAGCAAAATGAAATTACGAAACGGCCAATTAAGATTAGTTTTTGATTGGTAAGTATAGTCATGTGAAAGTTCTTGTCAAACTTTCATTAAGAAAATTTGCACATGAAAGCTCTCGTGTGTGCAATATTACAACTATAATGATCCGTAAGATTCATTGCCATATTTTTAATAGAATACTTCTTTCCCTGCTATATCATAATTTTAATCATATATATAATTTAATAATATGTAGGAGTTGGGAATGATCTGTTGGGGTGGAAATATCATTTATATGACAAGACACATATCATTTTAAGTAT